AGGAGGAGAGGGGGTCATAACGACAACAAGAGGAGGAGGAGGGGGGAAAAGGGGGGGGCGGAAAGGGAGGGGGAGAAGGAGGAAGAGGAGGAGGAATAGAGGGATGAGGAGGAAGGGAGGTCGTGGAAGCCGGGCCCCCCGGAGGAGGGGGGGGGGGGGGGGGGGAGGAGGGGAGGAGAGGAGGAGGAGGAGGAGGAGGAGGAGGAGGAGGTGGAGAAAGAGAAGGGGGATGAGGGGAATGAGGACGCCTATGTGCATGACGAGCCGGTAGGCGAGGTTGATCGCGGCCGTGCCCGCCCAGCCGAAGTTGAGCCTCGTGCGGGTGATTTCGCCCATGCTGCAGGCTCCGAGCAGGCGCTGCGTATTGTGCGAGCGGTTGACGCCCGGGCTGGGGAAGAGACGCCGCGCCTCGGTCGCGGGGTCCGAGGGGTGCAACCCAGGATAAGAAGCCGTGGTGACCGCCTTCAGGAACAGGGTGTGCTCTTGCTTGCCCATCGCTGGCGGCTTCGTCAAGTCTAAGGCCTTGTAGAGCACGTCGCCCATCTTGGCTGATACCGATCCACCGCCGCACATGTGGAGTGTGCGCATGTGCGAGAGCATCGCCATCGTTGTGAGATGCAGCAATGACTTTCGAAAATTCGGCGACAGCTCGCCAAACTTCGGGATGCTCGCGGGGGCGGCCTTTGCCCCGTGAGCGGCGCGGTGCCCCCCTGTCGACATGAATAGGAAACCCGATTGGCTGCCCGCGTTGAACAAGTGCAACAAGACTGATAATTGGCGGCTCATGTAGACCACTTTGAGGGTCTCGGTCGCGATGGACTTCCTGGCCCCCCCCCCCCCCCCAATTCCGCCATAAGAGGGGATGGGGCCAGAGGGAGAGGAGGAGGAGGAGGAAGCGGAAGGGGACGCAGGACGAGGAAGAGAAGGGGGGAGGGGGCGAGGAGGAGAGGAAGAAGGGAAGGAGGAGGAGGAAGAGGAGGCGGATGGGGGATGCGGGCGGTCGCGTCTGCGGCGGGCGCCTGCGCCGGCCGCGCCGCCGCTTGGTTTCCCGCCGCGGCGGGGCTGACCACCGGCGGAGCGGGGCTGGGAGGTCGGTCCTGCTCCGCCGACGCTGGCGGCTCAACGGCTCCGCCGACCAGGGCTGCCGCGCGCTCAGAAACTGGCGGGGCGGCGGCCAGGTCGCCGCTCTGGGCTCGCCGAAGGCCGCCAGCGTCGCGCGCAGGCCTGGCCCCCAGTGCAAATTTACTTTTGAGCGACCGCGACACCGGGGCCACCTGACCGCAGCAGGCGCTTCTCGTTCAGCGTGGCCACCCGCGCGGCGGGCGCCGTCTCGCGCGCGCGGGCTGCCCGCGCGCTGTCTTCGCGCGGCCTCGCGACCGCGCCCCGGCCTGGCAGATCGACGCACCGCTGCCAGGGGGCCTCCGAAACTGGGCCGAACGAGCGCTGTGGCCAGAACCGCCGACGCAGCCTCGGCCGCCGAGCCAGCCGCCCAGCCGCCCCTGGATGCCCTTATCATTCACGGGCAGCGCCCTGTCAACGGGCGCGCGGCCGCGACGCCGAAAGCGAGGTCGTCGACGGGGGAGGGCGCGCTAATTGGGCTTCGAGAGCCCCCCGTGGCCCGCGCATAGGGGGTGGTGACGGGCATCCCCGCTAACGTGCAATGCCCGTCACAAATGCCCCCTGCGTCGACGACGGCGGCCGCGTCGCCGCCCCCGCGGCAGATGTTCGACAGGGTGAGGTCGGCGCGGAAGGGGCCCGCGCGGCGCGCGCGCGTCGCGCCGGAGCTGGGGCCCCCGAGGAGCGCCCGCCACCCCGCGCGCGGGGAGATGCCTGCCTGGCCGAGGTCCGACCAGCGCAAACGCCACGACGCCGGATCGAAGAAATCCAACCGGCCCTTCAGGGCGCGAGGTGGCGTCGCGAGCTCGTTCTTCCAACCCCCGCACCCCCCCTTTCGGGGGGGGGGGCCTTCCCACCGCGGCCCCCGGGGGTCGCCGGGGCGCCCAGTCCCGAGTTGGCCCCGAGAGTGTTCCAGATTGATCAAGATGGCCTGCGAACATGTTCGAGATAGACCCCATATGGCCCACTTCCAACGCGCCTGCTCAGGGCCCCGAGACCGCTCCAACGCGGCCCCTGGCAGCCGCGGGCCCGCCTAGGAGGCCCTCGAAATTCCGCATTCATGGAGCGCGCGCACGCGTCTATGCGTATATACGTATATATGAATAGTTGTCTGAATGGTCGGTTTGCTTTCGCCTTGTCGTTTCTGATGGGCGCCTGGCCCCCCCCGGTGGCAGATGGCCCGAACAGCCCCCCATTGAGCCCCGAGACGGGCCCGGCGCGGTCGCCGCAGCGCTCGGGCGCGCCCCGCGAGGGCGCCGCGAGAGCTAGTTTCTGGCCCCAACAGGGAAACTGACGTCGGTCGCAGTTGATGACTAGCCAACTCTTGCACGTTGAGCCGCAATCGTTGCATGTTGTTGAACCTGCGCTGCGAACGCGCGCGCAGGCTCGTCGCGCTTTGTTTTCGCCGTCTTCATCCGCGACGGCGACCATGTCGGCGGCGACGGGGGCGGCGACGGCGCCGACGATGCGCGCGCATCTCCCCCCGTCGCCCCCCCGCCCGCCCCGCGCCCCCCCCCCTCGCCTGAGGAGAGAGCTGAGGTGGCTGGGGCGCTACCTTTTCTAACCCCAGTCTGTTCCTGGGAAGGGCCTGCTCCTCCCCACGCCCCGCCCCCCGGGCAATGGCGAAGCGCTGCGCGAGGGGCTGGGGCGCCCAGCCTGGTCCAAATTTGTTCCACGCGGATTATTCATATAACCTAAGGTGGCTTCGAGTATGCACCGTCGCGGCCCAGTGTCGATCGCTCAAGATGGCCTCCGACATGGATCAACAGTGCCCGAGAACCGCCCGCGACGGCCTCGAGTGGCCGCGGCGCTTCCGATTGGGCCCCAAAGAGAAGTACAAACCTGCCCAAGACCTGAAGCAAACTCACGGTGGCTGCCTTCTCGCCACTTCGCGTCCGATGCGTTTCCGAAGCTTCGTCCGCGGCTGCAGCAAACCGCAAAAGCAGATCCCGCAGACAGGCCCCAACAACTCCAAGGCAGCCCCCGCGTCGGCCCGACGCGCCCCAGCAAGGTCCCCAGAAAACGCCAGACATGAGTTTTGGGCGTCGGAGGGGCGGTCGATTTGGCCCCCCCCCCCCCCCCCCGCCGTGCATTCCTCAACGTCTCCAAATATGGCGCCAAAGAGGGCCGCCGAGGCTCCGAAGAGGAACCTAAGAGCCCACCGATGGGGCCCCGACCCCCCCCCCCCCCCTCAGGCAATGCCACAAGGGCCCCCCGAGATGACCCGAAGAGTCATCCAAAGGGACCCCAAACCGAAGGAAACGCAAACACCCTTGTGCAGAAATCGAATGAGTCGTCGTCGCCGTGTCCCCCATCAGTTTCGCTCCCCTCCCCATGATCTTCCCTTTCGTGCCCCCCCGCCCTTTCCCCCTCCGTCTCCGCCTGCCCTTCCTCGTCGCCCCCCCCCCCCCTCCTTCGTCGTCCACACCTTGAGGGTTCAATCGAAGTTGCGTTAACATGCGTTCCATCAAAGCCGCGCTATTTTCCACCTCCTGCTCATGCCCTCCTCCCTCGTCGATCCTCCCCGTCCTCGTTCTCCTGTTCCGTTTCCCGCCTCCTCGTCCTTCTCCGCCAGCATTCAATCGACCGGGGGGGCATGCCTATTTGATCCAGTGTTGGGTCTGCTCAGGCTGATCCAGACCAAAAGAATCCTCTTCTCTGATCAAGGCAACTCGCGTGGGCATCGTTTCTGGATGGGCTGGCGGGGATGCCCGAAGCGTTCAGGATTTTAGTTGTTCGCGCATGTGCGTCTTCTTGCCCAACGGAATCCATACCTCGAAACCCCGAAAGCGGCCTACCCCCTTCGAAGACGTGGATGCTGCTGCGTTGCCCCCCCCCCCCCAAAGAGTTCACGTCGCGCGTGGGTCATGCGCGCGTTCCCTGGACGGGCAAAGGGGATGGCTTTTAGGGCGATCGGCAGAACCGTCGGAGGCGAGGCCGCGGAATGCGAATAGAGCGGGGCCGACACCCACACACACAGCGCACGTGATCCTCATTGCAACCCGAAAACAGTCAAGCATCGAAAACGGTGTTCTGGAAAAGGCCCCAGATGATCGCTACCTAAAAGAAAAATCTCCATTGCACTCCAATGAGGGGCGGCTCATCTTTCAACAGGGGCGTTCGCTGGACGTGTCGGTACCCTATGATCCTACCTTCTCGTATGTCATGCATTGCTGACAGCATGCAGACTATTCCCCAAACAGCGTTTGCACTGAGGGGTTCCTACTTGTCTGGACCGTCTGGGGACCAGTGTCGGCTTTTCGTCGCCGTGCCACCCGCCGCCGTGCGTCGCCGCCCGTCGCCGCCTTGCGTTGCTTTGCTGTGCTTTGCTTTGCTTTACTTTACACCGATTGCACCGCGTAGACTGCAATAACGCTCAACGTTATGTTTGTGGCCAACGCTGGCTAGGAGGAGGAAGAGGAGGAGGATGAGGAGAAAATGGTATGTTCAAAAGGGTGCCCGTCTTTGGGGTGCCCGTCTTTCGAAAACGGGTTGCCTTTTCGCAGCGAAAAGGAAGGCCTACAGGGACTCACGAGGAGTGGGCTGTGGGACGGGTGCATAGCAGCATCGTTGACGCAGCCTGGGTTTCTGGTCCTCCTCCTGCTGCTGCTGCTGCTCCTCCCTCCTCCCTCCTCTCTACTCCCACCTCCTCCTCTTCCACCTCCCTCCTCCTCCTCCTCCTCCTCCTCCTCCTCCTCCTCCTCCTCCTCCTCCTACTCCTCCTCCCACCTCCCTCCTCCCTGAGCCCTCATCCCTGCTCCCTCATCCCTGCTCCCTCCTCCCTCCTCCTCCTCCTCCTCCTCCTCCTCCTGCTCCTCCTCCTGTTGCTGCTGCTGCTGATCCTCCTCCTCCTTTTCCTCCTCCTCCTCCTCCTGATGCTCCTCCTCCTCCTCCTCCTGCGTTCCGTGGGCCGCCGAGGTTCCTTGGCGCCCCCCTGGGCGCTCTACGCTCCAGCGGGCCGCTCGAACAGAGCTGGCGGGCTGCAATGTGTGCAGACGTCCTCGTGACCCCAAAGGGGGTCCAGCCGAGAGGGGGTGGTGCAATAGATAGGGGGGCCGCTTGCGAACCCTACCCTTACCCCCCTCTGATTTCTGAGGGGGAGGGTGGGGTTCACTTCGCTCGGAAGCTCTTGAATTAAGTGAACCCCACCCTCCCCCTCAGAAATCGTGGGGGGTAAGGGTAGGGTTCGCAAATGCCCCCCTAATAGAGTTGGGTCAGCCGTGTTGCAAGCGCATTGCGCCAGAGAGTAGTATCGCATCGTGTTACAACTGAAGTGCTGCCCGCGAGGATTCCGGCATGCATCTGCGCGCCAGCGTTTATGGCACACCCCAGATGCACTGCAACCCCACAAATCTATTGCGCTAACTCTAGTGCACCACCCGTAAGTCGGGCATGTCCCCCTACAGGCGGATTTTCGAGGACAACAACAAATAGTCAGAACATATTCGGAAACACCCAACAATAACCGAAAATCGTCCCCACATTGTTTTTTGTCAACTGTTTTTGAATATTCCTCCTGTCGAGGTACGTGCCCGACTTAACACCACCTCCTTGTCGCTGGACCCCCTTGTGGGGTCAACCAGAGGGTGAACATCCGAAAACGGCCGAGGCATACGCGTCCGGAGGGCCGAGCGGCCACCTCGAGTCGGCGCTCAGCTGCTCCCCCGACCCCCTCCTCTGGACCTGGACAGGGCGTCTCGCGAGGTGGCAGAAGGTTCTTTTTGTCGGCCCCTGGGAGGGCCAATATTTTTCACCTCTCACGAGGATCGTGGCCCCCGAGGGGGGGGCCGATCGGGACCCTCCCTCCTTTGATCGATAGCTTCGAAGATGGCCCCAGGAGGCGGTCCAGGGCCCCCAAGACGAGCCCCAAGAGGACCCCAAGAGGGTCCCAAGAGGGCCCCAAGAGGCACCCGACAGGCCCCAAAGAGGACCCCGTGCGGCCTCAGAGAGCCCAAGATGACCTCCAAGATGGCTATAATAGGAGGGTGCGCCGCTGGATGTCCCCAAGGGAGAGGGCGTTGGGACCCCCCCCTTTTCCCGGATCCGTCGTCGGGGCCCCCCCCCTCCCTTCCTGGTCCGTCGTCGGGGACCCCCCCTCCCCTTTTTTCCCGGTCCGTCGTCGGGGAACCCCCCCTTCAACAGGGGGGGGGGGTCCTACCCCGCCCTCTTGGGTTCGAAATTCGGCTCCCCCTCCCCCCCTTTCGCCACGCCGCCCCCTGACTCCAACAGAACCCGCCGCCCCCCGTACCACCCCTAACCCTAATCCTCACGCTAACCCCAGACCCTAAACCCACCCCCTAGCCCTAGCCCCAAACAGTACTCGATACTCACTTCTCACTACCCACTACCCAATACTCATTACTCACTGCTCCCTGCTCACTACTCCCTACTCGATACCGGGTGCTTGCTACTCAAGGCGCACTAGTCACTGCCCACTACCCACTGCTCACTACCCACTCAACACTCTCCACTAATCATCACTCACTACTCCCTACCCGCTACTCGCTACTCCCTACACAGTACTCACGACTCACCACTCACTGCTCGCCACCCGGAACTCGGTATTCCCTATTCGGTACTCACTTTTCACCACCCATTACTCACTACCCACTACTCACTATGCCTTACTCCCTATCCGCGACACACGACTCACTACTCACTACTCAATACTCACTATGCGCTACCTTCTACACGCTACTCGCTACTCAATACTCCCTGCCCGCCACACACTACTCACTGCTCACGAATCACTACCCACTAGTCACTACTTATTAATCACTACACACCATTCAGTACTCACTACTCACCACTCAGTACTCACTACTCACTACTGACTACTCACTACCCACTACTCGCTACCCACCTCTCACATCTCACTACACACTACTCAGTATTCCCTACTCACTACGCACCACGAACTACTCATTACTCACTACTCGCTTCTCCCTACTCGCTACTCACGACTGCTTACTCTCTACTCACTACTCACTAAACACTACTCACTATCCAGTACTCGCTACCCACTACTCTCCATTCGCTACTCCCTACTCACTACTCGCTTCTCCCTACTCGCTACTCACTACTGCGTACTCTCTACTCACTACTCACTAAACACTACTCACTATCCAGTACTCGCTACTCACTACTCTCCACTCGCTACTCCCTACTCGCTACTCACTTCTCACTCCCCACTGCAACTAGTCACTACTCCACACTCATTACTCACTACACACTACTCACTGTTCACTACTGACTACTCACTACTCCCTACTGGTTGCTCTCTACTCACTAGGTTCAAAACGTATGCTAATTAATGTCCAAGTAAAAGATTGAGATCCAGCTTCGCTGCATTTCTTTGCCCTCTTGCGAGAGTCAGCTTTGAAGCGTGCAGTTTTTTAGCGCAGCGCGGCGCCACTGTTGGTGGTTTTGGTAAAAGTTGCGCCGGTGATGATGTCGATTGCGGGGCCGGGGGCTCTGCAGCAATGTATGCAACACAGCATGCAGGAACATGCGAAGAAGGGTGTGGCGGGAGATCTGGGCGAAGACCCGCGGGAAATCTGAAGGAAGATCTGGAGGAACATCTGGGGAATATCTACAGTAGAAGAGAGAATCTCGAGGACAACCCTGGTGAAGATCTGTGTGAAGATCAGCTGGGCAAATATTTGGAGAAGATCTGGGGGGAGATCACGAGAAACATCAGGAAACACATCTGGTGGAAGATCTGGGGGAGATGTAAAGGAGAGATCTCGAGGAAGACCCCGGTGAAGATTTTGGTGAAGATCTGGATGAAGATATAAGGGAAAATCTGGAGAAGATCTGGGGTCATATCTGGAAAGATATCTTGAGAAACATCTGGAGGAAGATCTAGAGGAGACATCTCGGGGAAGACCTGTGTGGATATCTGGGGGAGATGTGGAGAAGATCTGGGGGGAATCCTGGTGGAAGATTTAAAGAAACATCTGGGGGCAGATCTGGAGGCGAGATCTCGGGGGATGATCAGGATGAAGATATGGGGGAAGACCTGGGAAAGAGCGTGAGGACGATTTGGGGGAAGATCTGGCGACACATCTGGAAGAGAGATCTCCAGGAACATCTGGGTGAAGATCTGGTTGGAGATCTGGAGGAAGATTTGGGGAAGATTTGGAGGAAGATCTAGGGGAACATCTGGACAGACATCTGGTGGAGGATCTGGGTGGGAGATCTTGGGGAAGATCTGGGCGAAGATCTGGGTGAAGATCTGGGGGGCGATCTGGACGAAAATCTGAGGGAATACCTGGAAGAGAGATCAGGGGGAAGATCTGGAGGAGATATCTCGGGGAAAATCTGGGTGAAAACTTGGGGGAAAATCTGGAGAATATTCGGGGAGAGATCTGGAGGAACATCTGGAGAAATATCTAGCGGAATATCTGGAGGAGAATTCTCGGTCAAGATCTGGGTGAAGATCTGGGTGGCGATCGGGGGGGGCATCTCGAGAAGATCTGGGGCAAGACCCGGAGAAAGATCAGGAGTAAGGTCAGGGGGAAAATCTGAGGAAGATCTAGGCAGATGAACTACGGAGATCTAGAGGAAGATCTGGAGGGAAATCTGGAGAAGATCTAAGACGACCTGGAGGAATTTGGAGAAGAACGCCAAACACCCGGGGAAGATCTGGAGGAAGATATGAGGAAGAGCTGGAGGAGGATATGGAGGAAGATCCGGGGAAGATCTGGGAAGATTTGGGGAAGATCTGGAGGAAGATAGTGGGGCAAGTCGAGGGGGTAGGTCAAGAGGAAAATCCCGAGGAGGATCTGGGAGAAGACCCAGAAGACTCAGAGGACGATCGTGAAAACGATGTCACCGTTAACAGACTGGGCCAACTTCTGGGAATTCGTTACCGAAGTTGTAAAATGTTGAAACCCATCTTGGCGGGAGGGAGATTCTTGAACAGACGGTATCATTGTACTCACTACTCATTACTCACTATTCAATACTCTCTTCTCACTACTCATTACTCACCACGCACTACCCTCTAATCAGTACTCACTTCTCACCACCGACTACTCACTGCCCACTACTCCCTACTCCCTACTCCCTAATCAGTACTCAGTTCTCACTACTCACTACTCATTACTCACTACTCGCTACTCACCACTAACCCACTACTCTCGACTCATTACTCACTACGACTCACCAGTCACTAATCACTAATACTCACTACTTTCTACTCATTACTCACTACTCACCATTTCCAACTCCATACTCCCACCCACTCTCTCCGGCGCAAAAAGGAGCAAGGAACACCGGGAGAGGCCCTCTCCCTGGCTCTCTGTCCAACGCAAAGGGGGGGAAGGGGGGGGGTCGAATCCCCACCGCTCGTTCCAGCGCCAAGGGGGGCGGGGGGGGTCCGGACCCCCACCCCCCTTCAAGGGGAGAGGGGGGGGGGGTCGGACCCCCCCCCCCGATTAAGGGGGGGAGGGGGGGGGGGGGGGGGTTACAGGGGGGGGGGGGGGGCTTCCGAACCCCCCTCATCCGTTCTCAAATACAGGATCCTCCAGTGGCGCAGTTTCCTCAGATAGCCAAGTTGCCTCAAGATGGCTCCCAAGATGCTCCAATCGGCCCCAAAACCGTTCCAAGAGCGTCCAAGAGCGCTCCAAGAGAGCCCCAAGAAGCGGCGCACTGGCTCTTGAGGGGGGAGCTGAGTTGGGGACCCCCCCGTCTTGTAATCGATGGCCCCCAAGATGACCCCAAGAAACCTTCCACGGTTACCAAGGAAGGTTCCAAGAGGGCCCACCAAACTCCCAGAGAGCACCAGCAGCAGCAGCAGCCGCAAAAATAGCTCTAGATGGTTCGATGAGTCCTCGTCCGCGTCGTCCTCATCCTAGTCCTCGTCCTCATCGACCTCGTACTCATCCGCGTCCTCGTCCTCCTCGTCCTCGTCCTCGTCCTCGTCCTCCTCCTGTTCCCCTCGCCCCCACGCGGCCCCCAGGGATGGCCCGAAAAGGCCTTCTAAGGACACCCTCTTGCTCCCAGAGATCTCTCGGTTTACCCTGGTTGCTCGCTTTGTTTCCCTAGATGTGTCAGTTCGTCCAGCTGTGAAACTCGCACAATGAAGCGGATCCTGGTGTATACGGGGCCCTGGTGTATACATTGCTCGTTGTTCCCCGGGAAAACAGGGGAAACATACACACCACACCACCCCGACGTCGTCCCCGACCCGCAAAAAGTCTTGGGATTGAAAAGTAGCCCGCCACTGGTAACGTATATGCTGCAGCTTCCGATCATGGGCAGGGTTTCTGAATATGCTGGTTGGGGTACTTTCGGTCAACAGGCTCGCGAGGCGGGTCGAAAACCGTTCGAACTCTAGTCGGGCCGCGACTAGGCAGCAGGAGAAGAAAGGCAAGCGAAGCGAGCGAGCGGGCAGCCACTCAGAAGGAAAGCCAGAACGCTGGTGGGGAGACTTTGTTTTTATTAGCAGCCGAAGGCGAGCGCGCCAACGTCGAGTGAGGTCCGAGCGGGCCGCGCGTAGTTGGTGGGGATACCTTTTCGGTCGCGGCCGCGAGCGAAGGGCGCAGGCGGCAACAGAAGCTGTCCGGGGCACGGAAACAGACCTAATTAGCTGCAGGGCGCGGAACGGGCTGGCCGGGCCAGCTCACAAGGCAACCGCTTGGGCAGCAGGGTGAGGGCAAACCGTTGGTGGGGATACTTTTTTTTGGGTCGGCGGCACCCTGGCGACGGTCTAGGAGTGAAAGCGGCGTCCGGGTGGCGGAACGAAGCGAATTTGCGAGCAGGCCGCCAGTGTCGGCGGACAAGTTCGCGCACGCAAGACAAGCTCGCAGAGGCACGTGCACAGAACAAAATGAACTGAACTCACAAGCAACAGTTGGTGGGGATACGCGAAGCGTGGAGAATAACCACCCCGACACGCGAGGCCTTGGGTAAACGCGCCCAAAGGAGGAACCGAGCAGGGCAGGGCCTTCTAGTGAAGGCCCAGGGCCGTCTAGTAAACGCCGATGGTCCGGTCCGAGTGGTTTCTCCTCCCTTGACCCCCCCGTGCTGGCGCCGCGGGGCGCGTCGGGGGCGTCGCCACGGAGAGGCCGCGGCGCTGGCCCACGAAGGCCTCCGACAAAATCGCCCGCAGCCCCCGAAGGAAACGGGTCCTGGGACCCTGGGCTGCGGTCGGGCCTGTCCCCCATACAGGGGGATTCTGGGCGAAAGAACAAAGGTAGCCAAACAGATGTTCAAACACACGCCCAAAAACACCAACAAATCGTCCCCTGACTATTTTTTCTAACCATTTTTGAATACTCCTCCTCTAGAGGGACGGGCCCAACTTAAGCCTGGGGCATCCTCCGGGACCCGCTCTTTCGGGGGTCCTCTGACCCGGGTCAATCCAGACCAGGGTCAGTCAGGCCTTGCAGGATCCTGCAAAACCCTGCAAAATCCTGCACCCAAACCCGGGTCAATGCGAAGGATCCTGCAAGATCCTGCAGGATCCTGCACCCAAACCCGGGTCAATGCGACCCTGGCCCTGCAGGATCCTGCAAGGTCGGGGCGCTCTGGCTGACCCCCGTTTGCACTGACCCCCGTCTCAAGGCTCCCGACTCTTTCTCCCAAGGGCGGTCCCGGGGGCTGGGGAGGGCCCGGAGAGCCCGCGAACGGTGGGAAACCGGGGGCCGCTTCTGTCAGCAGCCAGGACGAAGAGAGATCTGGGTGAAGATACAGTCGGGACGTTGACCGTTGACCCAAGGAACCCTCCTAAGGAACGAGGCCCATTTGCCCCAAGAAGTATACTTCGATCTCCCATGGAAAACCTCAGGAAAACCTTCGGCAAACCAACAAATCAAGGAACACCGAGCCCCTCCCCAACGAACACGGTTACTTCCTCACCGTCCCGACCGTAGATCGAGAACCTCTGATGTCCGGCGGCTCTGGAGGACGCCTCGGGCGCCGCGGCCTGCTCAGAGCGTTCCGTAGAGACCTGAGAGCGTTCCCGAACGCTCTGGATCGGCTTCATCTGGAAGAAGAAAACACATGAAATAAACTTTCGACAGTCCGCGCGGATCTCTTGGATCTGCGCCGGACCCTTTCCCTGGCGCGCGGAGCGGAGCGCGCCGGAGCGCGCCAGGGGCTGCGCCGGAGGCGCCGCCAGGGGGCCCCAGCGCGGATCCAAGAAATCCGCGCGTAGCGCCAAACAATTATGTTTATGACGTTTTTTCTTCGATTCATCCTCGTCCTGGCCCCATTCGATATTGGTTTTGGGAGGGGGTCGTGGTGCCGTTTCTGTTGGCTCGTCGAGCCTGGGCATGACTGCCTCTGCTTGCCGCGCGCGCCTCAGCTCTCGTCCAAGTCTCCGACCCTCTGGCGCTTGACGACCCTGGGAGGAGAAGGAGGAGGAGGAGGAGGAGGAAGAGGAGGAGGAGGACGAGGAGGAGGAGGAAGAGGAGGAGGAGGAGGAAGTTCGACGAGGTGTGCGGTCGGCACGGACGAGGATAGCGGAGAGCGCGCGGCAACGATGCAAGCCATTCGGGCGTCGAACTCCCAGACCACACGCACCGCTGATCTGGAGGAGGAAGAGGAACCGGACGAGGAGGAGAAGGAGGAGGATCTTCAAGGTGCCGTCACATGTGACGCCTCGCGCCCACATCTGTTCCCAACCATCCCCTGGTGTGGATCCTGGTTTGGAATCCGCGGCGCCGCGTTCCACTCCGGGACTTGCAGGATGCAAACCCTTGCGTTGTGACACACGTGCCTTTGAGAGTGCCGTCCATCTTCGCGGTGCGCGTCGGCTGCAGAAGGTGCTGCAATGGCAGGAGGGGCCCCAGGCGGGGTCCGAAGTCACGGGTCGGAGGACGGCGCCGCATCGCCCATGCATCGCCGATGCATCGGCGATGCGTCGGGCATCGGGGATTCATCGGCGATGCATCGGTGAAGCATCTGCGCCATCGGCGTGCTGAGAACCGGTCGACGATGCGTATCGATCCTTCGACCTCATCGGCGCAGGAACCCACCTGGGAGACCCCAGAAAAAGGCCGGGGGGGAGGCAGGCGGCAGAGGTAGAGGTAGGCAAAAAAGGGGGCCGAGACGGGGACTCGTCGCCCAGCTTCGCGCGACTCGCGCCCCGCGACGCAGGGGCGCGCGGCAGCCGTCGTGCGATTGCGCCGCCGCCCGTGAGGAAGGGCGAACCTGCAAGATCGTTCGACCCTAAACGATCAGCTGTTTCCGAATAGCGCGCGATCGTTTAACGGGAAATTAGGACACACAAATAAATACACACAAATAAACATATCCCCCATATTTTCCCATATTTTCTGGGTTTCTGTCTTCCCCCCCACTTCCCATATATTCTCATATTTTTTGGGGAATCGAGGATTAATTGTGTCTGTGTGTTTCTTTTCCTCCTGATCGTTCAACATCGACCGTTTCGGGGCCGCCGCCAATGATCGACAGTGAAGTCCGGCGGCGGGGTCGCCGCCGGTCGACGCGGCGCGCACCTGCCGCACGGGAGGGATCCGTCGTCCTGGAATCGGCGATGCATCACCGACAAAGCGGCGATGGGCCCCCGACAGCACGTCCGCACGCTCCTGGGCGGGGCGGGGCTTTATCGGGCCCCTCTCGCCGATCGGTGGGCGATTGGGGGTCGCTGCGCCCTCCCTCTTATGCCTAACACCACGTCCCTGGAAATAACGTACGGGGGGTAACATAGCGTTCGGGGTCTCGGGGGGATGATTAACAATTTGCCCCGGCAAGTCGCACGAGGGCTGTATGACGAGGAAGGATGAGATCTCGTCGTCGTCGTCGGTACACGAAGACGACGCCGACGACGACGACTACGACGACGAAGAGGAGGATGTTTCCCGCAGTCTTTCTCGTGAGAGGCCTAAGGATTGCCCGCGCTCGTCAGATCTCTGCTTCTCCTTGCCAGGAAGCTTCTCTTTCGAACAATATCGAAGTACTCGCCCATGCAGTGTCGGCACCCCTTGGAACCACCCTTGCGGGGCAAGCGTTTGGTGCGCGTCTGGGCTGCCGCGAGAGCCTTCTCGAAGGGCTGAGAAAATGAGAATCCCATGGCCCTGCCTCGCGTTCGTGAGTTGGGAAAGCTGCAGTGGAGAAATACCCATAGGCTCCCTACACGTTCGTGACTTGCGAAAGCTGGAATGGTGAGAACCCCACTGTCATGCCACACATGCTTGATGATGTTGCTACTCGTCTTCAAAAGATGTCACCTTCGATTCGTAGTTTGACCCCGCGATGATAAAGTTCGGCCTTGCCTCCCGTGTTCCCCGACCAACTCTGTCTTGGTTGGGGAAAACCCACTCGTGCGTTGGCAGAACTGGGTTTAGTGGGAACTGGTTTAATGATGTGTACTGGGGGACGCCCCCCCCGCCCCGTTCCATAACCAGAACTGCCGTCACCCGAAAAAAACACCAGCTACGGCAGACCTTGTTCAGTGATTCTGCCCAATTCATAAGGCTCCGGGGCCCTACTACTGACTGGGTCCCCTCACCTGGGGTCCTCTGGCTATACCCCATCCGCTCTCAGGGGGGAAAAGAGGGGGGGCATGATTTATAATCCCGTGCTCGCGGTTATCCCCCCCCTATCGTTACCCTTGAGGTCCTGCCCCCAGACAGCTGCTCGAGCCGCTGCGGGAACGCCACGGTGTGCCCGAGGAACATGAGCACGGGGCCGCCCCGGCCGGGGCGCTCCCTGGCGAGGCCGGGCAGGGTCTTCACCGTGCCGGCCAGCGCCTATCGGAGGACGCCGGCTGCAGCTCTCCAGCGTTAAGTCGGGCATGTCCTCCTAATTGCAGGCGGAGTTTTGGGAGAAAAGGGAAAATAGACAAAACATGTGGAGGAACATAGACAAAACATGTGGGACAATAAGCAAGAACTAGAAGGAACGTCCCCAAACGATTTTCTGACCATTTTTCGATCTTCCTGCTGTAGGGGGACATGACTCCAGCGCCGGGCACGGCCGTGTCCGCCCAGGGCCCCGGACGGGCGCCACGCCCGCTGGGCGTTCGCAGGGGTGGCCCTGGCCCGACCCTGGCCCCCCTCGCGCTGTGGAAAAAAACGCAAAGGGAGATCTTTTGCTATTTTCGGCCTCCGGGGGCCCTTCATTACCGGCCCTCGGGACCGTTCAAAAAACGACTCGGGAGGAAACACCGGTCCCGGCGAAGGGGTCGAGATCTCTGGGGGTCGAGGTTGTGAACAAAAATCGCCACGTCGGGGGTCTGGGCCAGGAGTTGGCCCATGCTCGAGCTGGCCCCCGCAGTTCCTAGGGGGGCCCGCGGGGGCCACCAGAGCAACCCTCGCGGGGCGCTGCGGTTCTCAGGGCTTGCCTGCCGAAGCCGGAGGCGGGGGGGGCACCGTTTGGAGTAGTCGAGCAGGGGATCGACTACAGAATTGACTTACCCCAGACTTGACATGTTCGTCGGGTCTACAAGAAAAAACATAGACTGTTCGTGCACGAGCACTATATGCTTGATCTGCTGGGTCGACGAAACAACAATCTTGGGGCAGTTCATGTTTGTAGTCGATCCCTAATCGGCCGATGGCCAGGATTACCGCTGGCAAGCTCTGGCTTCTGGCCAGGAAGGCGTGCGCCTCGAGCTGGGCCCAGGAGGGGTCCCGGCTGGGCATGGTGCTGTACAGTTGGCTTCCTCCCAAAGGCCGACTCGTGGGGCGTCGTGGCAGACTCCACCAACATCATCGGCGTCTCCTCGGGTGCGCCGTGGGCCAACAGGCGTTCGCATATGGTGTCGAGCGACTTGAACCCCATGTAGAACACTACCGACTGCTTGTGTACGTTCTGGGCCTGGAGAACCAACAAGCACTGCATAAACATGGACTTCCGCAGGTCCGCGCAGGTTTATTGGGTCGTCGCTGGGCCTCCTCTCACCACTCTTTGGCATTCACAGGCCGCCGAGACGCTCCACCAGCCCGTGATGCAGCAATGCCAGCTGCTAACCGCGTTGACGGGAGGCGGCAGACAAGTCCGTGAGGAGAAGGGCAAGCCCAACCGGTCGTGGGGGGCACCCTGAGATCCGACGAGCCCCAGACCCCATCTTTCTGCGCCATTTTTCGAGCCGGATCGATCTGTGAGGGTCCCAGGGCCCGAAACCTGACGAAAGCGCCCGGCTCGAACAAAAAATGAAGCGCCAGGATCTCAGGGCAACGCACGACCTGAGCCCAGTGCATTCAGCCCCCTCGCCACACCACTCGAGGATCGACAGACCCAGGCAAGGCCACGGGGGGTCATCACCAGGGGGGTCGCCGCCTCGTCTCCAGGGGGACGAGTCCTCAGGACCCCCTCAAAGACCCCCCCGGAAACTTGGCAGCCGTTCGAATTCGACGCCAAACTCCTCGACCCTCGATCCTCGAACCTCGATCCTCAGGATGAGCCGGCGACCCCCGTAGTGGTGACTCCCCTTGTCATCGTCTGAAGAACCTCCCATTCGCACAAAAACTCCATGTCGTCGTGCAACGGCCGGGGGGCACTTCCTGGGCAGCATGGCGCACCCGGGCGGGATAGCTAACCGACGGCCAATGAAGACGACTTGGTTGATCTTGGCTGTCAACTTGCCGCCGCAGCGCCCAGGAAGCGAAACAGCACACGTCGACGATCTGGCCAAACCTACGTCGACTGGCGAAACCGGCGGGGAATCAACTAGTACACTGATGGGCCTGTTTTCAACCACCACCACCATCAGTTGGAGGGGGGAAGGAGGTGGAGGACGACGAGGAGGACGAGGAGAGGAGGAGGAGGAGGAGGAGGAGGAGGAGGAGGAGGAGGAGGAGGAGGGAGGAGGAGGAGGAGGAGGAGGAGGAGGAGGAGGAGGAGGGAGGGGGAGGGGGGGGGGGGACGAGGAGATGCAGGAGGGGGAGGGGGAGGAGATTGGAGGAGGAGGAGGAGGAGGAGGAGGAGGAGGAGGAGGAGGAGGAGGAGGAGGAGGAGAGGAGGAGGAGACGGAGGAGGAGGAGGAGGAGGACCACCCCCTCCCCCTCCCACTTCTGGTGGCGGTGGTGGTGGAGAGCAGGCCCATCCTACACTGCGAATGGCGCTGTCCAGCGAGGAGGAGGAGGAGGAGGCGGAGGAGGAGGAGGAGGAGGAGGAGGAGGAGGAGGAGGAGGAGGAGCGACGGCTTCGCCTGGGTGGGCGCTCCCGCACTGCCCGGCACGCCCCACTTCTGGGGCGGCGCGCGCAGCGCGCCGCCCGGGGGTGCGTGGACGAGGGCACACAGGACCTCCGACGTCGCATTTTGTGGCAACGTGATAAGAAGAATAAGAGTAAGAGAGAGAAGAAGAAGAAGAAGAAGAAGAAGAAGAAGAAGAAGAAGAAGAAGAAGAAGCAGAAGAAGAAGAAGAAGAAGAATAAGAAGAAGAATAAGAAGAATAATAAACATACGATTAATACTAAGAAGAAGAACAGGAATAAGAAGAAGAAGGAGAAACATAATAATAATAATATAATAATAATAATAATAACAATAGAAAGCGCCGCAAGCATAAACTGTTGGCGCTTCGCGCGGACTTCTTGGGACTGCGCCGGACCCCCCTCCCTGGCGCGCGGAGCGCGGCAGGGGCGGCGCCGGAGGCGCCGACAAGGGGGCCCCAGCGCAGCAGATCCAAGAAATCCGCGCGGAGCGCCAAAAGTCTATGGTTATGGCGTTTGATCTTCTTCGAAACGTGGACCCCCAGCGGTCTGGAACCCCTCGGCACGACCAGCTTTCCATCCCGGGCTGTTTTTGCTACCGCCCCAGGGCTGCTGAGGGCCCTCCGAGAACGAACATGTGCCGCAACCCTCCACGGTGTTCTTTTTCAGAGCGCGGGTAGGCCGGGGGAGCTGTGGGGAGGGGGCCCAGCGCCGACCCGAGAAACCCGTGCGGACCTTACAGCGCCTCCTTCATGCATCCTTTTGGGCAGGGCTCGAGTCAAACAGTGTTCTCCGTCTTCGTTTTGTTCTCGTTATCCCTAGCTCTGTCTTCGTTCCACGTCTGCTGCAAAACAAAGACAAAACGAAAACGGTCCACGAAATTGCCAAAACACCGTTTAGCTCGAGCCCTCCTTTTGGGGTGCTTCTTCTCCATCGAGCCAGCTCCGCCCAGTCCAGGTCCGGCAGCACCATGGCCTTGGTCTGCCCCACCAGCAGCCGCACCTGGTTCGCGCCGCAGGTGCGGTGCGTCAGCGGAACCTGCAGCGACGCGGCGGCCCCCAGGCAGGCCGAGATGCCCGGCACCACCTCTGGAGGCCACAAAGGGTTGCCCTCTTCCGTGGGGATGCCCCGAACCAGGCTTTGGGGCGCATCCGCTTTCTTTCCAATTCGGGTGTTTAGCGCCCAGCTGCGCAGCGGGTAACGTTGCTCCCCTTCATTTTTTTGTTGTTCTCTCTCTCTCTCTCTCTTTCTCTCTCTCTCTCTCTCTCTCTCTTTCTCTCTCTCTCTCTCTCTCTCTCAGTCGTTCTGCAGCAGTGCCGCTGGCACTAAAGGAATAGTCGTTTCACTTTTCGCACGTGCGCGTTTTGCGTTTCTCGATCCCCCTCGCTCTCCCTCTGCCTCTCTCCCTTTCCCTATCCCTCGCCGTCCCTTTTTCTCTCCCTCTCTCTCCCTCACTACCTCTCTCTGCCTCTTTCTCGTGATCTTTGTCATCATCGTTCTTCTCTCCTCTCTCTCTCTCTCTCGCTCTCCCTCCCTCCTGCGCGAGTGCTCCGACGTTGGCTTGCTGCCGCGTGCGAGCCCAGATGTCTGAAACACTTGCAGAGGCGCACCATCCGAAGGGTGTCTGCAGCAGAGTAAGCCCCGGCGCGGGTGTCCGATCCCCCAGCGCCGATTGGACGCGCACGGGTAGGGCCCGCAAGCGGTCGTGGAGGTGGTGGGCCCGAGGTTGCTGGGGTTGATCGTGGCCCGTGTGGATGCTTTGTCGGTGGTGGGTCGAAGGTAGCTGGATACAAGCCTGCTTTACGCACCCCCCCTGGTGGGACCGCCAGGGCCTCTCGAAGGATGCTCGGGAGGCCCGTTGACCCTACTTGGAAACGCTGGGTCGTCCCGCGGCTGAGATCACCTCTGGCACCCCCTCCTCCTCCTCCTCCTCCTCCTCCTCCTCCTCCTCCTCCTCCTCCTCCTCCTCCTCCTCCTCCTCCTCCTCCTCCATTCCTTCTCCTTGTAAACAACTTCTCCCTGTCGCACCCCGAGGCCAGTCTGTAGGACGGGCCGGGCGTATCGCATGAGACTTCATCACCATTTATGACCCCGAAGCTTAAACATTTGCAACAGCTCCACAGATGGAGGGCGGGTCGTTTTTCAAAATGTGGCTCTCGCCGTAGCGCCGCGCACATTCTTGTCAAACAATTGCAAGGGGGTTCACGGATTGAGGGCGGGTCGTTTTCAGAATGTGGCTGTCGCCGTAGCGCCGCGCTCAATCGTTTTCAACAAGTGCAAAGGGGTTCACGGATTGAGGGCGGGTCGTTTTCAAAATGTGGCTCTCGCCGTAGCGCCGCGCACATTCTTGTCAAACAATTGCAAGGGGGTTCACGGATTGAGGGCGGGTCGTTTTCAGAATGTGGCTCTCGCCGTAGCGCCGCGCACAATCGTTTACAACAAGTGCAAGGGGGTTCACGGATTGAGGGCGGGTCGTTTTCAAAATGTGACTCTCGCCGTAGCGCCGCGCTCAATCGTTGTAACAATTTGCAAGAGCGTCTCGAATTGAGGGCGGTTAATTATTCAGAATGTGGCTCTCGCCCTAGCGCCGCGCACACTCTTGTCACACAATTGCAAGGTTCTCGCGGTTTCCCATGATCGACGAACCAGAAGCCGTGTGTTGGAAGGATTCACGGTTATGGGGGCGCAACAATTACGATGGCAGGAATGGCACGATCCAGGATCGTCAAGACGCAACAGTCACGTTTATCAGTGGCGTTGGAATGCCGAGAATCAGTGGCGTTGGAATGCCGAGAACAATGTTTCAAACGGATGCCTTCGAACGAGGCAGGTCCCCCTGTGGAAATGAACCGCGGTGGGGGCTGCGAGGAGGGAGCTTGGGGGGAGGGCTTATTCCAACATCTTTGGTGACTCTTGGGTTCACACTGGTCCTCCTCCTCCTCCTCCTCCTCCTCCTCCTCCTCCTCCTCCTCCTCCTCCTCCTCCTGCCTCGCGGTCTGACCTCCTCGGCCGCGGCCCCGTGGACACCAGGCGGCCGGCTGCCCCGTGCGCACCGCCCTCGTGGGAGAGCCGGCGCGCCCCGGGGCGCCGCGCCTGGGGCCCCCCGGACCGCGGCGGCACCCGACGGTGAACACGGCCGTCGCCCGGCCTCCTCCCTCCTCCTCTCTACTCCTCCTCCTCCTCCTCCTCCTCCTCCTCCTCCTCCTCCTCCTCCTCCTCCTCCTCCTCCTCCTCCTCCTCCTCCTCCTCCCTGGACTCCCCCTTGAGGCAATAACTACGGGGGGCCGTTGACGAGCTCCCGGCCGCAGTGGGGGAGCGGCAGGAGGGGAGGGCAGGGGCGGCGGGGGGAGGGCGGAGGGCCACGCCCCCTCTCCGCGTGCGCCTCGCTGCCGTCGCCACCGCCCCGTCGCGAGGGGCCGCGAACACCGCCCCTCTGGACGGCCACGGGGCCCCGCACACGCCGCGTGACGGCGCGAGCGCCTCGGACCTCGGCGGGGCTCCTCGGCCGCGGCCCCGTGGACACGGGGCTGCCTCGGAGCGGCTGCCCCCGTGCGGGGCGCCTCCGCGGGGTCGCGCGCGCGCCCCGGGGCGCCGCGCCCGGGCCCCCGAGGCCGCGACGGCACCCGGCTGTGAACGTGGCCGCCGCCCGTGGCCGCTCGAAGCCCGGGGTCCTGGACAGGCGGGCGCCTCGGGCAGAACGCCTCTCTGGGCACTCTCTCTCTCTCTCTCTCTCTCTCTCTCTCTCTCTCTCTCTCTCTCTCTCTATATATATTATATATGTGTGTGTGTATATATATATATATAGGGGGGGGAGGGTCCGCCGTCCGCGCGAAATCGATTCGCGCGAAAACTGCGGGCCGTTCGAAAGAAATCCGCTGGGCGCGCGCGCGCGAAAAGAACCCAGGGCATCCCAGAAGATGGCGGGAACCATGATTTTGGAGAAGTCGAGGCTGGAAAACCCCCGAAATTCCGGTTCCCGGCTCTGTCTGGCGCCCCAGGGACCCACGGCGGCCCCGAGGATGGCGGGAACCACGATTTTGGAGAGGTCCAGGCCGGAAAAGCCCGAAATCGTGGTTCCCAGCTCTGGCTGGCGCCCCTGGGACCCACGGCGGCCCAGAGGATGGCGGGAACCACGATTTTGGAGAGATCCAGGCCGGAAAAGCCCTGTGCTCTCTCTGCTCTGTGCCCTCTGCTGCCCTGTGCTCTCTCTGCTGCTCTGTACTCTCTGCTGTTCTGTGCTCTCTGCTGTTATGTGCTCTCTGCTGCTCTGTGCTCTCTGCTGCTCTGTGCTCTCTGCTGCTCTGTGCTCTTTTTGCTGCTCTTTGCTCTTTGCTGCTCTGTGCTCTCTGCTGCTCTGTGGTCTCTGCTGCTATGCGCTCCCAGGGCCCCGCGGCCCAGAGGATGGCGGGAACCATGATTTTGGAGAGATCGAGGCTGGAAAAGCTCAAGTCCTCATGGACTTTCTAGCACAGGTGCGATCCGAGCAGTCAGCAGCAGCCCCAGCGCGAACCGACTGCCCACAAAAGCAGGATGACCCATGCGCTTAAACAACCTTAGCATGAAAGATGCCGAGCGATGGTGAAACAGCACGAGAGCTAGAACAATGCAAAACGACACGCTGGTGGCCAAGAACATCGCAGTCGGTCGATGCTGCAGATCGCGCTGGGAGGACGAGACCGCTGGGTGGGCGGAGCGGTGCAGGCTGGCACATCGCCGCCACTCCGCGTCGTAGCGGTCTAGTCCCCGAACGCCGAGGCTCCATGCATGCGCGGAGGCGCCGGCCCAGCTGAGAGTCATGGAGCGTGCAGAGAGCACCCCCCGCCCCCAGGCTCTGTCTGGCGCCCTAGGGACCCAGGGCAGCCCAGAAAATAGCGGTAGCCAAGATTTTGGAAAGATCGAGGCTCGAAAAACCCGAAATCCCGGTTCCCGGCTCTGTTTGGCGCCCCAGGGACCCACGGCGGCCAAAAGGATGGCGGAAACCGAAGCGGGAACCACGACGATTTTGGAGAGATCCAGGCCGGAAAAGCCCGAAATCGTGGTTCCCAGCTCTGGCTGGCGCCCCTGGGGCCCACGGCGGCCCCGAGGATGGCGGGAACTACGATTTTGGAGAGATCCAGGCCGGAAAAACCCGAAATCGTGGTTCCCAGCTCTGGCTGGCGCCCCTGGGGCCCACGGCGGCCCCGAGGATGGCGGGAACCACGATTTCGGAGAGATCCAGGCCGGAAAAACCCGAAATCGTGGTTCCCAGCTCTGGCTAGCGCCCCTGGGACCCATGGCGGCCCCGAGGATGGCGGGAACCAGATCCAGGCCGGAAAAGCCCGAAATCGTGGTTCCCAGCTCTGGCTGGCGCCCCTGGGGCCCACGGCGGCCCCGAGGATGGCGGGAACCACGATTTTGGAGAGATCCAGGCAAGAAAAGCCCGAAATCGTGGTTCCCAGCTCTGGCTGGCGCTCCTGGGGCCCACGGCGGCCCCGAGGATGGCGGGAACCACGATTTTGGAGAGATCCAGGCCGGAAAAGCCCGAAAACGTGGTTCCCAGCTCTGGCTGGCGCCCCTGGGTCCCACGGCGGCCCCGAGGATGGCGGGAACCACGATTTTGGAGAGATCCAGGCCGGAAAAGCCCGAAATCGTGGTTCCCAGCTCTGGCTGGCGCCCCTGGGGCCCACGGCGGGCCCGAGGATGGCGGGAACCACGATTTTGGAGAGATCCAGGCCGGAAAAGCCCGAAATCGTGGTTCCCAGCTCTGGCTGGCGCCCCTGGGACCCACGGCGGCCCCGAGGATGGCGGGAACCATGATTTTGGAGAGATCCAGGGCGGAAAAGCCCGAAATAGTAGTTCCCAGCTCTGGCTGGCGCCCCTGGGGCCCACGGCGGCCCCGAGGATGGCGGGAACCACGAGTTTGGAGAGATCCAGGCCGGAAAAGCCCGAAATCGTGGTTCCCAGTCTTCCCTGGGACCCTCGGCGGCCCCGAGTGGATGGCTGAGGAACACCGATTTTGGGAGAGATCCAGGCCGGGAAAAGCCCGAACCTCTGAGTTCTCAGCTCTGGCTGGCGCCCCTGGGGCCCACGGCGGCCCCGAGGATGGCGGGAACCACGATTTTGGAGAGATCCAGGCCGGAAAAGCCCGAAATCGTGGTTCCCAGCTCTCCCTGGGGCCCTCGGTGGCCCCGATGATGGCGGGAACCACGATTTTGGAGAGATCCAGGCTGGAAAAGCCCGAAATCGTGGTTCCCAGCTCTGGCTGGCGCCCCTGGGGCCCACGGCGGCCCCGAGGATGGCTGCTGCTCTCTGCTGCTCTGGATTGGTTTTCGCTCGGTTGGTTTTCGCTTGAACGGATTACCTTTTCGCTCGAACGAGCGTCTTTTCGCTTGAACGATCCACCCTCTAGGGGGGGGGGGGGGGGGGGGGCGCACTGCCCCCAGAACTCGGGCGCCGGGCTCCTGCTCGCAGCCTCGAGCCCCAAGACGGCCTGGACGCCCTCCCCGGGGCTGGCTCTCCACCCCGAGCCGCCTTCCTGGCGGACCTGGGGCCCAGTGATGGCCCCGAGAAGCCGACAAGGGGCCCGATGCCCTCCGTCGCAGTGCTTTCGCGACGCGAACTTCACTTCTCGGGCCGCAGCCAAGGCCTCCGGCGGCCGATCGAGACGATCTGGACACCCCTGGAACGCCATCGACGAGGCGCAGCTGATGGAACGCATCCCGAGGCGGGAAAACACCATGGCCCTGGCATCGACGAGCGCGCCCGACAGAAACCCGCCGCCGCGATGTTTGCCCGAGGCGCGAGGAGGTCTGGCACCTCCGCTGCCACGCCGTGCTCGGCCAGGAACTCCAGCTCCTCGCCGCCGCGCCCGAAGATGAGGGGGTCGCCGCACTTGAGGCGCACCACGCTGCGACCCCGCCTGAGGGAGAAGGGGAGCCCATCGGGGCTTCAAGAGTGCTCGTCGCATCTTGCAGGCCTCCTCGCCTCGGGATATGCGCTCCCTCAGCGGCGCCTCGCCGCGGCTGCTCTGGGTGCCCACTTTGTCTCGATCGGCCGCTGGAGGCCAGAGCTGTGCCCCAAAACCCAAATCTCCTCTCGCTGCGAAGAAATCATCGGGGACCTTCTGACCCGGGTCAATGCAAACCCAGGTTAGTCGTGATCCTGCAGGATCCTGCTGGATCCTGCACCCAAGCCTGGGTCAGCGCACCCCTGGCCCTGCAGGATCCTGCAAGAGCCGTCGCTCTGGCTGACCCCCGTTTGCATTGACCCCCGTCTCTGCACGGTTTCCCCAGGGCCATAGGCGACCCGAGCAGAAGGAGGAGGAGGAGGAGGAGGAGGAGGAGGAGGAGGAGGAGAGGAGGAGGAGGAGGAGTGAGGAGGAGGAGGAGGAGGAGGGGAGGAGGAGGGGGAGGGGAGGTGGACTGAGGAGATGCAGGAAGAACGAGGGGAGGAGGGAGGATGGAGGGAGCGAGGAGGAGGAGGAGGCAGAGGGGAAGGAGGAGGAGGGGGGAGGTGGAGGAGGCGGGGGCGGGGGACGAGGCGATGCAGAAGGAGGAGAGGAGGAGGAGGAGGAGGGAGGAGGAGGAGGAGGAGGAGGAGGAGGAGGAGGAGGAGGAGGAGGAGGAGGGAGGAGGAGGAGGAGGAGGAGGGGGAGGGGACGAGGAGATGGAGGAGGAGGAGGAGGAGGAGGAGGAGGAGAAGGAGGAGGAAGAGGAGCGGAGGAGGAGGAGGAGGAGGAGAAGGAGGAGGAGGAGGAGGAGGGAGGAGGGGGAGGGGGAGGAGAGATGCAGGAGGGGGAGGGGGAGGGGAGGAGGAGGCGGAGGAGGAGGAGGAGGAGGAGGAGGAGGAGGAGGAGGAGGAGGGGAAAGAGGAGGAGGAGTTTTTTTTTTTTTTTTTGAGAGGGAGGAGGAGGAGGAGGAGGAGGAGGAAGGAGGAGGAGGAGGAGGAGGAAGGAGGACGGGTCGCCAAAGCCCTTCGGAGAAACCCTCCACCCGTCTCAAGGCTCCCGAGATCACAAGCGATGGCTCTTGACAACTCTCGGCCTCCGGGGCCGTCAGACGACGCCTCGGGAGCATAGGCCAGGCCCCGGGGAGGGAGTATAGACTTGTAAGGCGCAGGGGCGGCACCGGAGGCGCGGCCAAGGGGTCCAGCGCCGATCCAAGGACTCCGCGCGGACCTCTGAAGCGCTTGTGTTGACACAACTTGTTGAGCTGCGGCCCATGCGAGAAGCATGGGTCACCAACCTCCTGCCGTTCCACCCCCGCCCCCTTCCCCTTCCACAGCCTGGCTTGTAAGGCTGGACACCTTCCCCAAAGACGAATCTTCTACAATTTTGGACTCTGTTTGGGCACGTGTGAGGATGTCGCATTGTTTGTCCAAAATCCGCCTGCACGGGCGAATTTTGGACAAAAAATCAGGCGGATCTTGGACAAAATGTGGGGAATCCACTACAAATGCCCAAACATATTCCAAACTAGTAAAAAATAGCCCTGGGGGAAAGAGTCTACAGACGACGTGGTCAGCGTGTCGCGCCGAAGCATGTGGGGCCAGAACCGGCGGCGCGACACGGCAAACAAACGTTCCCGACCGCAACTTACACCGGACCCGCGAGACAGAGACCATGACGAGGAGGCATCCCTTAAGAGGGAAGCGTCCTCTCGCCCGGTGCTCGCGAGCGGCGAACATGTCCATATCCACGCCCTCGCTTAGCGGGCCCAAGAAACGACAAAACCGTTCTTCACGGGTTCCATTTTGCCGTCATTTTGCCGGTTCGGGCGCAATGGTTTTGCCGGTTCCATCGCCGTTTGTTTGCCGTCTCTGGCTCCAGTTCCAATTCCGTAGCCGTTATGTCCCCGTTTCCTGTTGCCGTTTCTTTAAGAGACACTGTTTCGGAAATTGTTTAAAAAAACGGCCCTGCCGCCTCGGGTGCCCACTAAGCTTAGGTCGGGCATAAACTATTTATGAGAAATCCTCCTGTAGAGGGACAGGCCCTACAAAACACTAAGCGCCTTCGCGGTCTGGCTCCCTGGGCGCGATCCTGTGGATTCGCGGTCGCACGGACGCGCTGCGCGCTGGGCGTGCGCGGAAGAAAAGCGCCAAACCCTCAGCGGGCGACCGAGGCGGAGGGCCCACACACGTGAGTCCTTCTCCCTCCTCCTCCTCCTCGTCCTCCTCCTCCTCCTCCCTCCTCCTCCTCCTCATCCTCGTCCTTGTCGTCCTCCTCCTCCTCCTCCTGGCCCTCCTCCTCCTCCTCCTCCTCCTCCTCCCCCTCCTCCTCGTCCTCCCTCTTCCTCCTCCTTCTCCCTCCTCCTCCTCCTCCTCCCCCTCCCGCCCGCGAGGCTTGTCGACCTGCCGTCGCTCGGGCGTCCATGCCCCGTGCATGCCTCGACCTCGTGCGCGCCTGCTGCGCAAGAGGGTCCAGGCTGCTCCTCTTGATGGTCCACCGCTCCCTCCTCCCCTCCCCCCTCGCCTCCCACTTCCCCCTGGTTCCCCTCCCCCCCCCCTCCCCTCCCCCTTCCCCTCCCCCTCCCCTCCTCCCCCCCCCCTCCCCTCCCCTCCCCCTCCCCTCCCCTCCGCGCGGCGATCGAGCCTCCGCCGCCCGGGCCCTTCCGCTCCAAGCCCTACCCCCCCCTCCTGGTCCGCTGCCACGTCAACACCTGCACTCCTGCAGTGGCAGGTGAAGCAAGCTGCCGCCTGGCGTGCGAGAGCAGCAGCTGGTTGATCTCCAGCTGCTGGGCGCCGCGGTCGCGGGCCATGCCGCAGCGCTTGCCCACGTTGACGAGCTCGGCCGAGGCGGGCACCTCGCGAGCGGCGCACACGCCCCCATCCACGCCCCCGCGGTCGGCTTTCCTGGGCCGCAGACCCCACGGCTGCGCGGTCGCATGGCCACGCTCCGCGCGCGGGACCTCCGCACATCCACGCCCCGACGGCCCGGCCCACGAGGCCGCGTGTGTGATATGGGTATGTTCCCCGCTCGCGAGGCCCCGTACGGCGGGTTCGTGTCGTGCCGACCCCAGCGTTGGTTTTTGACACCGCAGGGATCGTTCAACCTTGAACGATCGGCCGTCTCCGCAACGTCCAATCGTTCAACATCGATCGATTCTGGGTCGCCGGCGGCGTTCAACGTTGAACGCCCGCGCTGGGGTCGCCGCTGGTCGACACGACGCAAACCTACCGTAGACAGGGGACTCGGAGGAGCCACAGGGCGTGGGGCTGCGGCCGTGGGTTGACGCATCGCTCTCCACTCCCAGACCTCCGGCGACGACTGGCTGCAGTCCCTGCGCCGTTCCTCGATCCAGGCCCCCGGGGTCCGCTTCAGGGCCCGGGGGCCGTCAACAAGTGGATCAGGGGCGGAAGGCTGCCACCAGGAAAAGGGTCGGCACCTCTCGGGCCGCGTCTTGAGCAATTCGCATCGTCGGATGTCTGGTTTCACAGATCAGGGCTGAGCCTAAACGGTGTTTTTCGTTTTCGTTTTGTTTTCGTTGTCCCTCGCTTTTGTCACGAGTCCGCCTTTCCCGCAAAACGAAGTCGAAACGAACACGGCCCACGAAATCGCCGAAAACACCGTTCAGGTCCAGCCCTGTCACAGATGTCCCCGCTGGATCTGAGGGGGGAAGCGTGGGGGGGGGGGACTGGCTCAGGGGGGAAACGTCGACAAAGAGTCGGCGACACATCGCCGATGCATCGTCGACCGGCCCACGATAGCGGAACCGCGCGTTGCTGCGCGGGGCGGGCTTTCGGGACTGGTGCACGTGTGGCTGGGGGTCGATGCATCCCCCCCCCCTAAAACGACGCGAAGATCGGGACAAAATCGGATCGGGATAATTCGAAATCTCTGAGAATCGGCGGGTTTGGAGGATGTATTGGGCGCCGCGGCCGCTCCAGAGCGTTCCGGAACGCTCTGAGAGCGCTCCGGAACGCTCTGGAGCGATTTATCCCGATCCTAGCCCTGTTTTACCCCCCCCTCCCTGGGCTTATCCTCCCCTAGCGTTGCCCCTGAGGATCTGGCGGAGCCCTGGCGGCTGGCGCGATCCCCGGTTTCTGGCGGGCCCCAGCGCCATCGCCAGGATCTCCTCCGGGAGCAGCGCGTCGTGCAGCACCACCTGGGGGTGCCCAGAGCTCCAGCGTCCGAATCAGGCCACAGGGCTTCGCGCATCGCGCCCCTTCTCGCCCTTCGCCCGCCCGTCGAGAGGGGCAGGCGCTCAGAGCCCTGCCCGCGACGCGCGAAGGGCGGTTATCCTCGCCCCCCCCCCCCCCCCGAGGGTGGTCAAAACCTCGCAACGTCAACCCCGCTGAAGATCCAGAACTCCGCAGCGTCGGCCCAAGGAAGGTCTGGGCCCCCTGCCCTGGAGGTGCCGCGGAGGGCGCGGAGAGGCGGCGCCCACAGGGCGAGGCGCATCCCTGAGGCCCGATCTCGCGCACGGAAGAGGCCACAGCTCGAAACTTACGGCCAGAGCCTCACACTGGCGGCCGAGTCCACAAGAAGCCTGCCACAGGAAACCCAACCCTGCGACCTCAGGACGCCCATTGCTTCCTGTTGTGGGAGCGGCACGCTTGTCCATCGCAGAACCATCGGAACCCAAGAAGCCCAGGGCACCCTGGAGGCAAGCAGGGTGTTTCTTGGCGTGGGTCTCCACTGTCTGGCCCCTTCTTTCTCTGGTTCAGGGGTCGGATGCCCCCCTGCGAGACACGCAGGGATCGTCGGAGAGCATTCCTCCCATGGAAATGCTTCGTGAGTGCTGATTGCGTAATGTTCGTCCGCGTGCATGCCCTGAAGGCTCCTGAGCAAGTTTCCCTTTGCTGGGGGACCCTTCATGGGGATGCCTTTGGTTAACGTTCCTTTAAAAGGGCCACATTTCGTGAGGAGACTTTCGTACGATCCCTTCCATGAGGAGTCCTCTTTCGTAAAGCTCCCCTCACAAAATATTGCTGTAATGCTGATGCATTGTTCATGGGCCCTGTAAGCAACAATTTTGTAATGGTGCTTCAAATCACAGATTCTTGACACGAAAGCTTTCCGTAATACCAGCTGTACGGAGAAATCCTTTAGTAACTGACGTCTGTGTACGGACCCCTGCAATGATGATGTTTTGTTGTTCTTCCTTTAGTAGCGACTCTTTTAAAACGGATCTGGATTCCTGAGAAAAGATACCTTCATAGTGGTATCCGTTGTAGGGTGCTTTGGGCGAGGCCTCCTGAGTGGTAACGCCTTCAATAAGGGTCCCTTCTGGAGAAAAAACCCTGTAACAAAGACTCCCCATGTAATTCTTCAGCTAGAACGGGTTCCTTACGATGGATGCATTCTGCAAAGGCGCCCGGAATACGGTGCAGGGTCACTCGATTAACGACCCCTCGCGAAGGATATCACCGTAGTATGGATTCATTGTTCATGCGTCTCTTAGTAAGGGGCCCTTAGTACTAAGGCTTGTCTGCCCCCCCCCCCCAAAGGGAGGATTCCTTGCTAACTGTCCTCTCGGTAAGAACCCCTAATAATGATCTCTCACTACTTCTTCCGTGAGCAATGGTTCCTTAAGAAAGGTGCGGGTTCCTGGGCAAAGATACCTTCTCTGAGGCATCCTGAACGCAGATGCTTGTGATACGGCCTCCTGAATGGGAAGGTCTTTAGTAAGGAGCCCCTAGGCAATGATCTCCGCAGTGCGGGCTCATGTGTATGTGTTCCTTTAGGAAGGCTTCCTTACGATGAATGCCTTCTGCCAGGGGCACTCGGACGTGATGCCCTTAGAATGAATCTCCTCATTCAGGATCCTTGTAGTAAGGGCTGATTGCTCATACGCCCCCAAATACGGCCTCTTGGTAATGGTGCGTTTTGGAAGGGCTCATGAACAATACTGCTTTTCGTCTGGCCTGCTTCGGGAGGGTTCCTGTAGTAACTATCCTCTCGGTTATCATTTCCATGTACTATTATTCCTGTCCTTAGCAATAGCCCCTCAAGAAAGATGCTGGTTCCTGGGCACGGATAGTCTGGTGTCGGATCATACGTGCGGATGCGTTTCGCGATCATTCCTTATTGGTGATGCTGTTCGTAACCTTCCTCTCAAGAATGGCCCACTGTAATCTGGACTCTGGTGTAAACTTCCTTTAATAAGGGTCCATTGCGATGGATGCGTCTTAGAAAAAAAGCCTCCGTAAGGTAAGCATGCCCGTAGAACGGGTCCCCTCAACACGGACCCCTGTAATACGGATTCATTGTGCATGCGTCCTGTGGTGAGGGCTTGTGGGTAATGATGCCTTTAGTAAGGCATCCTTAGTAAGACTGGCTTAGATAAAGCCTCCGTAGTGAAGATCCCTCTCGTAAACGTACTCCCACTACGGACTCCTGTAACAATGATCCCTTACTGCTGGCTTCGGTAACGACTCATTGGGAAAGATGCAATTTCCTGGACAATGATGCCCTATAAATGGGTCCTCAGCAAGGGTGTGTTCACTTGGGCCTCCTTCGCGGGGATGCATTGAGTGAAGACCCTCTCAATAGGGCCTTCCCTGCGAGAGCGAATTCATTTGTCAGACTCGTTACGGATGCTTTCGGTAAGCGGCCTGAATCAGGAATACCTTGGAAAGGCATCCTTCGTCATAATACTTGATGCGTGAGGGTGGTTGTGGTGGTGGGGGCAACAACATCAGAGTTTATCAAAATCGGTCAAAAGTTTTCCCCCTCCCCCCATGACCACCGCAACCACCACTGGATTGGGACTGCGGGAACCGGCGCGGTTTCCTCTAAAGGATATGGATTCGGTCGTGGTGTGGGTTCGGCAACTGGAGGTATTTAGTGTTGAGTCATGTGTTGAGAGATGCTTGGTAAATATTCCTTCAGAAATCGGACATTCAAGATGATGCCCGTCGATCAAGGCATCTGGTAAAACATTAAGTATTTCGTATGGGGTCCTGTGGAAGATGCTTTAGTACGCGGTCGTTAGTAAACAAGTGCCTTCACCAGAGGACCCTCAGTGGGGGCCCCTCCAATGAGGTGCCTGTGCTGAAGGTGCCTTTAGCAAGGATCCCCATCAATAAGGATCCCTGCCGTAAGGACTCATTGCTCATGCGTTCTTTCGTAGTAGGTCTTTGGTAAGGATGCCATTCGGAAAGGGTCCTTGGTCGGGTTGTGAGTGAGGGATCCTTGGTAAGGTGCTGTCAGCGAGGCCTCTCTAGTGATGGTGCCTTTTGTCAGGGCTCCAGCGGTAAGCACCTCTGTCGTGAGGACTCAAGGGTTCGTTGGGAAGCCGGTGGAAGTCTCTGGGTTTGCACTCAGCTTCCTAATCACCGCCGTCGTCGTGGTCGCCGTGCGTGGTCGTCCTTGGGAGAAGGGGGGGCGCAGCAACCACAAAACAATACTTTGTGTGATGAAATCCCCCCCGTCCCTCTCAGTCCCCCGAACCACCAAGCAACACTGCACTGGGATTGAGGTTGCGCTAGAAGGCTTCGCCGAAGAAACGGCGAATCCGGGACGACCTCTTGACGAACTCCTGGGGTCGCAGCTTTCGCCCAGCCCGAGCGGTAGGGGCGGAGGGAAGCGGAAAGAGAGAGAGAAAGAAAGGGAGAGCGAGCGTGGAAGAGGGAGAACGAGAGAGAGAGAGAGAGAGAGAAGGAGGGCAAGGGAGACGGAGCGCGAAGCGAAGAGAAGGGGCGGAACACGAAGGCATCAATCTCGCAGGGGGGATTTGGCCCCGAAACCCCTTTTCTGCTGCATGTTTCGAGCCGCATTGATCTGTGATGGCCCCCTTGGGCCCGAAACCCAGCGACGGCGCCTGGTGTGAAACAGCTTTAACGCCCTGATCTCAAGGATCTTCCTGCGGGCCCCGCCCGCTTCTGAGACTGCCGAAGGGTACCTCAGCGCTGGAGTACTGTGTAAGACCTGCTGCAACACGGGAACATAACGCAGACGCATCTGCCCTTTTCTCGCATGCTGCACTGTGCCGGACGCAGCAGACGCGAGGTATATAGACGCAGCCACCTGGTATGTATATGTTTTTTATGTATGTACGTGAGCATCCATGATTGTATGTAGTTGTATATGAAATTGTAAATGTATATGTTTATGTATGTATGTCTGTATATATGTATGTATGTGTGTATGTATGCATGTGTGCATGCATGCATATATGTATGTGTCTAGCGTGAATGCACGTGTGAACGTATACGTGTTTGTATGTATGTGTGCATGTATGTATGTATGTATGTTTGTTTGTATGTATGTATGTACGTATGGGCGTATGTACGTGCATATGTATGTTAAGCTGTGGGCCGTTAGGTCGGTGGGTAGGTAGGCCTGAACGTCTGTATGTATGTGTGCACGTGCGTGTATGTATATGCATTTATGTGTGTAGGTATGTATACATGCATGTTTGTGCATGTATGTATTAATGTGCGTATGTGTGCATGCATGTATGCACGCATGCATGCATTACTGAATATATGCGTGTGCCTGCATATATGCATGTAGGTGTGTGCACACATACATGCACACAGGCATGCATGTACGTAGGTATGTATGCATGTATGTACATACATATATGTAGGTATGCAGGTATACATGTGTGCATGTGTGTATGTGCGTATGTATGTATGTATGTATGTATGTATGTATGTATGTATGTGTATATGTGTATATGTGTTGGTATATATGTATGTCGCTCGTACTCGAGGAGGGTCCACACGGGCGCCGCAGAGACCTACGGAGCCTCCCGAGTCCTTGTGAGCCCGACGAGAGCGAGTGCAGCACGCCGAATGTTGTGAAGATTGCCGTCACACTCCTCATCAGCGGGCGGCGGAACACTAACACGGGCAGTGTTGTAGACATGATAAGCCATCACCATAGCCTCGACACACGGCATCGATGGGGCTCCATTGAGACTTGGTCGAACTTTGAAGCAACTGGGAGGCGGCGAGCCCTGGGGATATGCAAGGCCCCAAAGAACATCACACCGGAGGTGGTGGGAAAAAGGTATCGAGGGCAGGGACCAGCGGGGGCTCACGACACCGAGACTTGCACGGGTGCACGCCATCCTGCACATGAAGCCGTGCCGAGGTCAACCAAGCCCCTGAAATTGTCTTCAGGACGGCGCTCTGCCACGCTGGGGCCACCCTCTTTAGAAGCTCGCGCGGAAGGGGACCATCGACCACGGGCGACGGCGGCGCCCACACGGGCGCCACGAGCAACCCCGAGTCCCCACGCCCTCATCTTACGCATAATCAGGAGGTGGAGGGAATCAGGGTGGAGGGAGGAGCGCAAAACATACAAAGTTTTTCTGCACGCGCACTCGCCCGCCCGACGCCAGAGCCTGCTCCTCGGCCTGTCGGAGAGCAGCCCAGGCGGCGCCAGCGTGGCGGGCGAGCCCAAGATCACTCACGAAGCCGTCGCGCGCCTCGGCCAGCCCCATGACGATGGGCTTCGTTCTCCAAGAGGACGGGGAGAACTGTCCCAGGCCGACGGCGAGCAGCGGCGCGTTGTCGAGCTGGTCGTGGAGCCAGGCGAAGAGCTGCAGCCAGTTAGTGACCGTCGTGTGGGCCGCGCGCATCATGGCAGCCAGACCGGCCGCCCTCGCGGAGGCCCGTCGCCCGCGCGCCGATGGCAAGGTAGTCGCTCCCCGCCATGGACTGAGGCGGGACGTGCCAGAACTTGGCGATTGCCCACGCCTCCTTCGTGAGGAGCATCCTCGGCGTCATCGAGAGCTGCTGCAGGTAGTTGAGGACGGGGAGGACGCGCGGGTTGTAGAGCCGAGCTGCCATCGATGGCGGGGCTCCGCACCTCGCAAGGTCTTGGACCCGCGAGACCCACTTCGCGCCCGCCTTCATCCAGATGTCCCGCTCCGTCGCGCAAGGGCCGACCACGAAGCCAGGGTGCTCGCCCTTGCCTTGGATTAGCATGGAAGCGCAGGACGGGATGTGACTGAGCAACCAGTCCCTGAGGTCGGCGATCGCGACGTCGTCCAGCGGGCCGTCGAGCGGGATCAGCACGTACTTGTGGTGCTTCAGGTGGAGGCCCGCCAGCACCCGCGCCGCCTGAAACGCCCGCCAGAGCCCCGCCAGCAGTTGGCGCCGTCCGAGAACAGCTCCCACATCATCAGCACACATTCCCAAGGCCGAGAGTCCGCGCTCGGTGTATCTCATCATGTGGTGGACGAAAGGGTTCATCACGATGGCCCACAGCGAGCCCGAAGCAGGGCATCCCTGAGCGAGCCCGCAAGAGACGCACGTGAAGTGCACCAGCGCGCCCGCCAGCTCCAGAAAGGCCGTGGGGAGCCAGTAGAGTGCGAGCAACGTGTAGAGCAGCCCGCCTTCGAAGCCTGAGAAGATGAGCATGGCAACGGCCCAGTCCACCCGCAGCGACGGGAAGGCGTCGCCGAAGTCGAAGAGCGCCATCACGGGCCCCTCGCTCGGGTGGAAGCCCGCAGTTCGGCCTTCGTGTCCAGGAGGGTGATGCTGTCGATGAAGTTGCGGCCCCGCAGGAAGCCCCGCTGGGGAGCGGGAGAAACCTTCTCCACAAGGCCCTTCAGACGTGCAGTCATTGGTGCCGCCACCAGCTTGCAGTCTGCGTTCTTGAGCGCGATCGCTCGCGTAGTGCTGGCCGTGCGGTACGCACCGTCTACCAGGTCATCCTCCAGCGAGCCCTTGGGGAGGAAGGCCATCAGGTGATCGTTCCAGTCGACAGGTGGGGCCAGGCCCATGGCGACCTCGATGACCACACCCTCGATCGCGCCCAAGGCCTCGTGGCAGCTCCTCCAGGCGGCATACGGGAGGCCATCGGGCCCAGGGGCTGAGTCCCTGGCCCGCGCTGCCACACGCACCAGGAGCCGACTTGTCGGGAGGTGGAATACCGACGAGGTCCAGTTTAGGCGCATGCTCGGCGATATACCTGTCGGCGAGGTGCTTCCAGTTGGCGACCCCCCGAGGCTTGGCCTGGAGGATCGGCGCCCAGTGCTCTCGCAGCGCCTCCAGCATGCCCTCGTGCTCCGTGACGACACGGTAGCCTTCGTCGTCGGGCACCCTGACCCCCTGCAGCTTGAGCGTGCGACCGAATGGGGACCATAGCGCCTGACGCCTCCGCAACTTGCGGCGCGCCGCGTTGACCATCTCGAACGAGGTGGGGTCGACGGCCTTGGCCTCGCGTCGCTCCAGTTCAGCAGCACGAACCTCTAAGTGCTTCTGCTGCTCCTGAGCGAAGTCGTGGGCGAAGGACGGGGGGTGCACGAGGGAAACCTGCGCGCCCGAGACAGAGACGCACTGCGCAGCCAGGTCGCAAAACATGAGTAACCTGCGTGTCAGCACCACATCGTCACGCCAGACCGTTCGAAAGAGCGAGCGGAACATCATCAACATGTAGGTATGTATGTATGTTTGTTTGTATGTATGTATGTAGACATGTATGCCTGTCTGTCTGTTTGTCTGTCTGTCTGTCTGTCTGTCTGTCTGTCTGTCTGTCTGTCTGTCTGTCTCTGTCTGTCTGTATATAGCTGTGCATGCGTATAAGTATGTACGTATGTATGGATGTATGCATGTATATACGTGTATGCATGGGCAGAATGGCATCGACTGTGTTTGTAGGCACCTGTGGCTAGGCAGTGGGAACGGCATTTGGCATGGGCCTCTGGGGGGGGGGTTCTTCCAGAGGCCCAGCCGGCTCTGCCCTCCAACCTCTGCAGCCTCCAGGCGCCGCACCGCCTTGAGCGTCAGCAGCTCAGGATCCCCCGGGCCCGCGCCCACCAGGGACACCCTGCCGAGGCCGCTGGGCTGTAGGGGCTCCGCCGCCGGGCTCTGCGGCGCGGCCCTGCGCTTCTGCCCTCGGGGTGCAGAAAGGAGGCAGTACCGATCGTTGTCGTCGTCGCCGCGGCCGTCGTCGTCGTCGTCGTCGTCGTCGTCGCCGTCGTCGTCGTCGTCGTCGTCGTCGTCGTCGTCGTCGTCGTCGTCGTCGTCGTCGACGTCGACGTCGTCGTCGTCGGCGGCGGCGGCGGCGGCGGCGGCGGCGGCGGCGGCGGAGTTGTGGCCCGAGCGCCCGGGGGCAGACAGGCTGCCGCAGGCTCCCCTCGGGCTGGGGCCATCGCGCTGCCAGAGGAGGCGGCGTGGCATCGGCGCCAGCGGGCATCGGCGTGGACCCTGGACCTTGCAAGGCGCGCCGTCGGCGCGGCAGCGGCGGCGCCTCGATGAGGCAGCCGTGCTGCTGGAGCGGCACCACGGATCGCAGGCGCTGCGGGTGCCCGCCTTCGTGGGCAGGCGCACCTTCTCGGTCTGCGGAGGCTGCGGTGACTGGACGCGGGGATGGTGCTCATGCGGGGTCTTCGTCGGCAAGCCCGCGCTGGGCCCATGGGGCAGCCGCTCGCGCGGCTCCAGGGCGGGCCGCAAAGGAGCTGGAGGTGCAGGCGCGGAGGACGGCGCGAAGGGGCACGAGCTCGTAGGCGCGCCAGGCCCGACGCCCCAGGATATCACAGAGGCGCTGGAGGCGATGCAAAAGGGGTGCCAGGAGGCGGCGTTGACGGCCCTGCGGAGGTACGCGGCCCCGCGCGACGTGGGGACGGCGGCGGCGAAGGCCAAGACGGGCACCTGCGCGAAGCTCAAGGCGGCCAGGCATCGCCCTGGGCAAAATTGGCTGGCGTCCCAGGATGGGTCAAGAAGGCGCCGGCGACGGCGAGGGAGCAAGGAGAGGAGGCAGGCGAAAGGTTCGCCAGAAAACTATTCCCCGAGCTGGCGCAGGCGGAGATGGAGCCGCACGAGAAGGAGGACAATGACGAGGTGGTATCAAGGTCCCCCCGGGAGGCTGTTTCCACGGCGGGGTGATCGTGGACGGGTCCGCCATGAACCCTGGGGAGGAACTGCTTAGGAGAGCTGGCTGGGCGGTGGTGATGATCAGTGAAAGTGGCGAAATGCTCGGACCGGCGTACAACACCGTGCCGATCGCCTGGGGGCCGCAACAGGTAGCGCAGGACGGCGAGGACTTTGCCTTCCACTTCCTGGCATGCCATGCGCAGGCGCCGCTGGAGACCTTCCGCGACTGCGGGGGATCGATCCGGAGCGCCGCTTCCAGGAGCCAGGCGCTGGCGAAGGGACCGGCGAGAAGGCACGTGGAGGATGCGGTGGGCAGGGCTGTGAGGGCACGAACTCGTGCAGGTCACCGAGGTGAGGGCCCACCGCTCCAAGTCGGAGCGTGCGACGGAGACGGAGAGATGGACGAGGGAAGGCAGCGAGGTGTCGGACTGCCTCGCGGAGAGGGGTGCGAGGCTCTGGCCAAGGCGCGGGGAGAGAGGAAGGCCTGCCAGACGAGCGCACTCCCTCGACGAGGCGGTGGCGATGCTGTTGCAGGGCGGCCCGCGGGACGCGGACGGCACTCCTCAGGAGAGAGCGGCGGACCTCGGGGAGGATCCGCAGGAGCTGCTGCAACGCCTCGAGAATGCAGGGAGGAGGCGCGCCAAGAGGAGGAGAGGCCTCCCAGCGAGGCAGAGAGACCCGAGGACTCTTCGGGACTACTCTCGGGCGTTGGCAGAACTGGGTGTAGTGGAACCTGGTTTAGTGATTTGTACTGGGGGCGCCCCCCCGTCCCACTTCCGCTAACCGGAACTGCCGTCACCCGAGAAACACCAGTTACGACAAACCTGGTTTAGTGAATCTGGCCAATTTAGGGGCCCCAGGGCCCTACCACTAACCGGGTCCCCTTACCCAGGGTCCTGGCTATACCCGATACTCAGAGCAGGCCAGCCAAACCTCCATGATGACGGTGGCTCCGGAGGCACAGGGCGACCAGGGGCGACGGGCCTGGGCCACCCTCGTCGGACAAGAGCGACAAGCCATGGAAAGGCCCCGCGCCGCGGGCGCCCCCAGCGGCCCCAGCGACTCCCCGCCGGCAGGGCCGCCGAGGCCGCAGCGGCCCCCCAGGGCGGCGCCGGCACGCCCGGGAGGCAGCCCCAGCCGGGTGGCGAGGGCACCGCCTCGCGGACTGCGTGGCCGACGGGGGGGGCGGAGGCGGGCGTGGTCTGCCGCAGGCGCGCGGCGAGCGGAGCCAAAGGGGCCGCCTCGCCACGCTCGCGAGGAGGCAATGGGGGCTGCTGGCTGGCAGCCGCGAGGGGTCTGTGGCCCCCGAGAGCAGACCTGGAGCATGGCGAAGGGGCTCCACCCGCTGCCGGGAGGAGCAGGGACGGGCAGGAGCTCGGCGAGGGCGCGGGGCAGGAGCTGCTCGAGGCAGGATGGGGAGGCAGCCGAGGCGGTGCACCTCCCAAGCTGCGGCCCGAGGAGCCAGGGGGAGCGCAGCGGCACGGCAAAGAGGTGCGTTTCCGCTCGCTCGCGGAGGCGGTCGAGGCCCACGGAGCCACGCGGAAGGCACTTTAGGGCAGACGCTGCTGCGGCGCTGCAGGCCTCCCGCAGCAGGAGAGGCGGAGGGAGGCCGAGCGGGCCTCGAGGAGGCGCCTGGGCCAGGGGAGGAATATGAGGAGCTGGTTTGCTGGTGTATTGGTCGATTGGTGCATGGAGGTGGAGGTACGTTTGGACCCCTCCCTGCAGCCGAGCGGGCCTCGAGGAAGCGCCTGGGCCAGGGCCCTGGGCCGAGGTCGGGGAGCAGGGGCGCCCAGCCCGAGGCGGGGAGGAGGCCGACGGCCCGCGAGGCGGGCGGCGCAGGCCCCAGGGGGGGCCCTCGAGGACGCCTCCGCGGGCGGCGGCCGCGAGGCGGGCGGGCCGCGGAGCGCCTGGAGGACGGCGGCCTCCGAAGAGGAGGAGGGAGGAGGAGGAGGAGGAGGAGGAGGAGGAGGAGGAGGAGGGGAGGAGGAGGAGGAGGAGGAGGAGGAGGAGGAGGGGAGGGGGAGGAGGAGGAGGAGGAGGAGGAGGAGGAGGAGGGGGAGGGGGAGGAGGAGGAAGAGGAGGAGGATGGCCGCGTACCTGGGGGGCGCGAGTCGAGCCACGCCGCCCCTGGTCGCCCGCGCGCCGCGCGCGCGGCCCGAGGCAGATCGGCCTCGGACGAACCGGCCACTGGCTGCCAGGGGTGGGCGCGCGCGCGAGCGGAGGCTGAGGCGGCGGGGGAGGAACAGCGGGCCAGCCCGCGTGGCAGGGCGCGGCGGCGCCCCGGCGGCTCGTGGGCGGCCGTGCGCGTGCCGCGGGCGGGCGCTCGGTGCGGGCTAGGAGCGTGCCGCCCGCCCCGTGCCGCCGTCACTGCCGTCAGTGCCGTCCCTGCCGTCACCACCGTCGGCGGCGGCGGCGGCGGCGTCGGCGGCGTCGGCGCCGTCGTCTACGACCTACCCAGGATCGGTCAGCATCGCACTGGCACGTCAAATCACACCGAAAAATCTGCATCGGAGCCGGCAACACTGGCACAACACCGACATCGGATCGGACCGGGTCGGCTGCGTCAGGATGCACAGCAACGCCATGCAAACATCGGGCCGCATCGGATCGTCGGAATATCGGAATCGCATCGGATCGGGCCAGCCCGAATCGACCTCGAATCGGATCGGTCGGATCGAAATGGACCCTGGGGAGTGGCGGTGACCCACACTTCCTCGCGTCGGGAAGAATCAAGACGCAAGGTTCTCGTCAGTTCCAGGCCTCTGGGGGCCCTGGGACCGTCAAGAAGCGGCTCGGGAAGGAAAGCGGGTCCCCGGGGAAGGGGTCCAGGCCTCTGGGGGTCCACGTTGTGAAGAAGTCATGGCGTCGGGGATTTGGGGAGGGAGAGCTCGCGAGGAAGACAGGCCGGGTGCGCCGAATGAGGGTGGCAGGAAGAGGGGGGGTAATTAGCGCATCGTGGTCCGAGGCATGTGCAGGACGACGGTGGGGCCAGAGGGCGTGTAAAAAAAAGAGAAAGGGGGCATGATGTACACGCCCCCCCAAATCCTCACCCCCTGGTTGACCCGAACAGGGGGCCCTGAGGGAATTGCAGCCTGATCCTTTGACTGTTTTCGGCTTCCTAGGGCCCTTCCCAGCCACAGAGCCGTCGAACAAGAAATCGGGGGGAACGAAGAAAGGCCCTAGGAAGCAGGCCCAGGGTCTCCAGGACTCGCTTCTCCGTCGGGACCTCCGTTCCCCCCGCGCGAATAAGAAAAAGAGAGGGGGATGACGGCGAGGCAAGGCGAGGTAGGGAGGGAGGACGGAGGGAGGGAGGAAGGAGAAGGAGTTGGAGTTGGAGTTGGAGTTGGAGGAGGAGGAGGCGGAGGAGGAGGAGGAGGAGGAGGAGAGGAGCCCTCGCCGCGGTGGGATATTCACTGTGCGGCAATGGCCCCCCCCAGAGGCCCCGGGTCCAGGTCCTCCGGTATAGGCATCTCCAGGAAACTGGAAGCACTTGCTGGATTCACGCGTGGAACTTGCGTCCGTCGCGGGCGGCGTTGACGGCTCCCCTCGTCTTGGCGAACGAAGTGTCGGAGCTGAACTGACCATTGCTTTCGCCTTGGCGGACGTAGTCTTGGGGCCGACTTGACGACCGCTGTGGGCGCTTCTCTTGGCATGCGCCGTCTCAGCCACTGCGTTGGACTCAGCGTGGCACGCTCGGGGGCCACACGCTGGATGCCTTGTTGCCTCGGCGGCGAGGCAGTGGCCGTCTGCGCCAGCGGAAAAGGCCTACCTAAACGGGGGTGCCGTCAGAGCGAACTGTGCCACCGTGCAGGAGGGGGGAAGAGGCGGCGGAGGAGGAGGAGGAGGAGGAGGAGGAGGAGGAGGAGGAGGAGGAGGAGGAGGAGGAGCAGGAGGAGGGGGCGGAGGGCCGCCCAGGGGGGCGGGACACGGCCCCAAGCGCGTGGCGCGGCCAGCACCGCCCACACGCCGGCTGCAGATACACGGGCGTCCAGCCTGCACGGCCGAGCGCCGGAGAGACACCTGGCCGCCTGCATGGCCAGCTCTCGCCAAGGCCGGCCGAATCATGAGTACGGTCGGGGCGTTGACCTAAGGAACCCTGAATAAGGAACGAGGCCCCTTTCTCCCATCAGTTGAACTTCGATTTCCTATCGAACACATAAGGAAAACTTGAGGCAAGCTGTGAAACACTTAAGGAACGCGGAGCCCCTCCCCAACGAAAAGGGTTCCTTCTTCAGGGCCCCGACTGTACCCTCAGGTTGGGCATGCCGTCCTCCTACGGGCGGATTTCGGAAGAACAAACAAAGACAGCCAAACCATATTCCAAACATAAGCAAAAATGGGTAAAAAAAAAAAATCGTCCCCATGTGATTTGCGACTACGTTTGAACTTTCCTCCCGTAGAGGGACATGCCCGACTTACGCGTACCCAGACATCCCCCGAAGTGTTTTTGATCCCTGACAGGAGGTAGCTTTGCGCCCCAGAGATCAATTCTTGATGGCCCCGGGGGCCGGGCAGTGGGCCCAAGAGGCCGAACCCGAAGAAGAACGCCAGAAGCAACACAAATCAATGCCCGTCGGACATTGGGTATCCGAGACCTGGGTCTCCAAGAGGTCCCAGCCCTCTTCCCGGAAACGTTTTTGTTCGCCCTGGCCCGTTTCTTGACGGCCCCGGGGCCCCGCGAGGGCGCCCCAAGATCGAGCACGGTAACACACACACGCACACATGTTCGCCATGTTTTTATCTCACTTTGCAGATGGCTCCGGGTTTCCAGCTTCTTCTTGGTGTGCAGACACACGCGCTCGTCTGTGCGCGATCTTGGAACAATAGGAAGCCACGGGGCTTTTCTGGTCACGGCGAGCATCGACCACGAATCGGTTCCCCGACCCAGAGGCAAAGAGGAGCTCGAGCCCAAGATGATCCTTACTGCAGCGTCGTGGCCGTGCACGCACGCGCCCATTCTGCGCACTTGGACCACCGCTCGGGTCGCTAAAGTGAATAGAGTTAGGTCGGGAATGTCCCCCTGCATGCGGATTTTTGGCGAAAAATGAAGAATACCCCAAACATGCCCCAAAATAGTCAAAACATAATGAAAAATCGTCCCCAGACTGTTTCTTTGACTATCCCTGTAGAAGGACAGGCCCGACTTAACAGTGGATACCAAGGTTGGTAAAACCTGGCCGAACCTGCCTTGCGAGTGGGTTGCGAGGGAGCCCTGAGCGGCCCACGGGGGGCAGAGATCTGGGCGGAGTGGGCGGCGCCCCCTTGGCGGCGCTACCTGACCCTTATGAGAAGCCGCTCGGGATATGCAGCCCATGTAGTTAGGCATGGGTTCGGCCAAGGCCCGTTACGATCCACCCTTGCATCCAATTGGGAACACTCCTCGTCTAGGAAAAAACTGTACAAACACGGACTTGTGGTGTTCCGCGCGGATTTCTTGGCTCTGCGTTGGGCCCTCCTCCGTGGCGCGCGGAGCGCGCCAGGGGCGGCGCCGCCGGAGGCGCCGCTGGGGGGGGGGCAGCGCGGAGCCAAGAAATCCGTGCGAAAGACCAAAAGTTTAGGTTGATAACGTTTTTGTTGTTGTTCTTCTTCGAACCTTGGCATCCACTTGGGAACACCCCTGTCCACTTAGCAAACCCAGCGGCGATTTGGAGTCCAGAAACGGTGCGGTGACAGACCGTGCGGTGGCCTCGACATCCCCCAAGACCTCACCGCACGGTCCGTCTGCGCACGGTTCTGGGACCTCGGACGCCCCAGTCGCCCGAGACGTCCTCGGTGAACGACCCCGAATCCCAAAACCGTGCGGTGACTCCGAATCCCTACCGACTCAGCGCACGGTGTGGTCACCACCCCGTTTATTGAGCAGGGGCCGACCGTCCCGGCATTCGTATAATCCTACCACGAAGTGTTCTTAGAACCCCAAAATGTTCTAAGAACAAACAACAATGTTCTTATAACATGAACCCGATGTGCTACAACAAGACAGACAGACAGCGTAAGACATGTTCTAAGAACATGTCGTGGAGGCCACAATAAGGTTCTTAGCACATTGTTTGGTAGGCCTATGGGCGAGCCAGGACGCTCCGCCACAGCTTGAGCTTGGGGACCCTCGACTGTCGGAGCGTCTTGCCGCGCCACGCCCCCGGGGGGGGCCTGCCCCGCACCGCGGCGGCGCGCCCGCCCCTCGGCGCGCCGCCTCCGCCGCCGGCGGCGCGCCCGCGGGGGCCGCCATCGGTGCGGGGGGGGAGGGGGCTTCTGCTTCGGGGGCGGCCAAGAGGGGGGTGTCCAAGAGGGGGGGGTGCAAGTCATGGCCGGCGGCACGTGCGCGGCCCAGCGGGGGGGCCAGGGACGAGGCACCATGAAATCTGGGGAAACATCATGACCCCCGCCACGATATCCACCACCCCCCCCTAGTCATCACCCCCCGCTTTTCCCCCCCCGACTACGTTGGGTGCCCCAAAAGGGGGTCCAGGTCTTAGTGGGCCCCGGGAACGACAGGGCCGTTGTTTTACTGGCTCCGTTCTGCCGTCTTTTGTTGCCGGCTCCGTCGCCATTCTTTTACGGGTTCCCGCTCTGGCTCCAATCCTGGAGCCGTGTTTGTTGCCGTTTCCGGTCGCCGATTTTTGGCCGGTTCCATGTTCAAAAGACACTTCTTCGGAAACGGTGAAAAGGGGGTGGTGCAAGAGATTTGGGGCAATGGTGTTGCAAACGTATGGCGCCGGAGAAACGCATTGCATCGTATTGCAAATAGTATATAGCACGCGAAAAACCAGCAATACATTTGCACCCCGAAAGGTAATGCACGCCCCAGAGGTATTGCAACCCCACGAATCTATTGCACCAAATCTATTGCACCACCCCCTTGTCGCTGGACGCCATTTTGGGTCAACCCGAGGGGGGGGGCTTCTACGGCGACCCAGGAATACACGCCGCCACCACAATCTCGACGGGCGTCGTAGGAGGAAAAAGGCACCCATGCTGCTACCCTTCCCTCGCTTGCCCCTCTGTGGGCCTCCTGGGAGGCCCCCGTCGCCACCGCAGCCTTCGCCTCGAGATCCTGGTCGGGACATCGGGAGAGGTCCGGAGAGTAGTGGTGTTGGTACCTTTTGACCCTGAGATCCGATGTCGTGATTTTTTCAATACGGGGTCCCTGGAAGTCTCGACCCATTCCCCAGGACCGGTTTTTCATCCTGAGTCGTTCTTTGACGGTCCCGAGGCCAGGTAAGGGCCCCCAGAGGCCGAAAACTATAAAAAACCTCCGTCGTGATTTTTTCAATGCGTTGGATCTCTGGGGATCTCTCCAGGGCGAGGACGGACGAGGTCTCCGTCGGCTCTCGGAGGCTTCCTCGCCCCGGGAGACGCGCTCCAGCAGCTCTCTGCGCCTCGTCGGGAGCGTTCTATGGGGCTGCCCGGGTGGCCTCTCGATGGGCCGCCGCTGCCGCCGGGGGCCCGAGCCCTGGCCTGGCCAGGGTGAAGTCGGGCCTGTCCCCCTACAAAGGGATTTTCGGCGAAACGTTACAACTGCTTCGAAAATAACAAACTAATAGTCCAAACATAGTCTGGAAACTATGTTTTGAATCTTTTCTTTGACCTTTTTGGGGATACTTGTGGGGTATTCGTTCTTATCTTTCGTCGAACATCTCCGTGGAGGGGGGCACGCCCGACTTAGGGCCAGGGTCGGTGCAGGAATCCGGCACGTTCTCCCCCAACCCCCTCGCGGCAAGAAACAACCAGGGCGGACATTTGACGCCTCTTCCGGCCTCTGTGCTCTACGGGGCCCCCGCCAGGCCCCGGGTCTGTCCCCGGGAACGGCTCGGCGTGAGATTCCCGTCCCCGGGCGGGGGTCCAGACCTGCGGGGGCAGTTCGTCACATAAGTCAGGAGGAGGAGGAGGGGAAGGAGGGGGAGGAGGAGGAGGAGGGGGAAGAGGGGGGGGAGGAGGAGGAGGAGGAGGAGGAGGAAGAGGAGGAGGAGGGGGAGGAGGAGGAGGAGGAGGAGGAGGAGGAGGAGGAGGACGAGGAGGAGGAGGAGGAGAAGGGGGAGGACCTCCTTTCTTCCTGGAGGAACAGAGGACGGCATATAACCATGCTTGCTCTGAGGCCCGCGTGGATTTCTCGGATTGGCGCTGGGCCCCTCCCCCATCGCCGATCCACGGCATCCGCGCGGACCTCCGAGAAATGATGTGTATGCAATGTGGGAAGTCTTCCCTTTTTCAATCTCGATATGATCGGCTCAAGATGCGTTCCAGACACTCCGGAAGTCCTCAAGTGCGGAACCCTGGAGATGCAGGACATCGTGGATGTGTTAGAGATCGCGGAGGTGCGGGACATCGTCAACAGCTTGGACGCATCATTATTAGAACTTCTGCGACGTCGGCGTGGAGAAAATTTGGCCCCACATCGAGCCGCACCGCCGATGCATAGGCAACGCATCGGCGATGCATTGCCGATGCGGCGCGATCCTCTGACCCCATATACTCTGACCCCATCTAGGAGGCCTACTCTGGATGTTCATGTTTGTTCGTTGTCAAGGGGAGGTGATTGACCTTCTGACTGAGCCTGCCCAATTCCGCTCCCCTCCATCCTGCTCCCCCTCCTCGTCCTCCTCTTCCTCCAACCCCCCTCCATCCGTTCCGACAGCACATGCCCGACCCCCCAGCGGATCCAAGGGGGGGGGGTCGATGATTGCCCCATCCAGAGCAGATTTAGGTCGGGCATGTCCTCCTAGATGGGGGCTTATACGAAAAAATAAAGAATAGTTGAAACATACACCCAAATACAGTGAAGGCATTGGATGAGGAGCCACTGGATAAGGAAGCCAGGGTCTGGAACCCCCGCAGAACTCCAATCGTGGAGTGGCCATGGGTATCACCGCCGCCCTCATTGGATAAGGAAATTCTGCAGGGTCTGAAGCCTCCTGGACACACTCCTTCACAATCGCCCCCACCATAGTCAAAGAATCGTCCCCAGATCATGATCTGACTATTTTTGAACATTCCTCCAGTAGACAGAGGAAGGGAAAAACTATAAACAAACACTTTTGGTGCTACGCGCGGACTTCTTGGATCCGTGCCGGACCCCCCCCTCCCTGGCGCGCGGAGCGCGCCAGGGGCGGCGCCGGAGGCGCTGCCGGGGGGGGCCCGCGCGGAGCCATGAAACCCGCGCGACCGCCAAGTCGAAGATCATGTTTTGACTATTTTTGAACATTCCTCCTGTAGAGGGGCGTGCCCAACTTAAGCGCAGTCTGTGGTGGTGGTGGTGGTGGCGATAGGTCGGGCATGTCCCCTTACAGGCTGATTTTAGGGAAAAATTTAAAAGATACTGAACATTCTCCCAAATAGAAAAAAAACTACCAGACTGTTTTGTTTGTTTTTTCTTTTTCTTTTGTATATATATATATATATGAATAGTCCTCCTGTAGAGGGACATGCCCGACTTAGACGCAGCCTGTGGCGGTGGTGGCGTCTATTGCCGGGCCCCAGAGGCCACCGGCTTGCCGAGGCGGCCTCGGGCAAAGAATGGCTCTCGGAGCCACCCGCGGCGGGCCGAGCCGTGCGTGGCGCGGCCGCCGCCGCGGCGGCGGCCGCGGCCGCCTGCTGTGCACCGCTGCTGCTGCTGCTGCTTAGGCAAGCGCGTTCCACTACTCGCAAAGTCGCTACTCGCGAATGGCCTGGCTCAGCCGCGAAGGACGCACGATGCATCACATCGAGGCGAACGTGTGCTTCTCGGACGTTTGCGAGTAGGCACTTTGCGAGTAGTGGAACGCGCTCGGTGAGCTGCTGCTGCTGCTGCTGCTGATGCTGCTGCTGCTGCTGCTGCTGCTGCTGCTCTCGGGCGCAAGGCGCGGCGGGCCGCTGCCGGGGAGCCGGAGGCACACGCAAAACAAAGTAGGTCGGGCATGTCCCCCTATACGGGCGGATTTGGGACGAGGGAAAAACACACCTCAGAAATGCTCAGGCGTATCCAGAAAATAATCGGAACATCGTCCCCAGACTATCCTCTGACTATTTCTGAGCGTTCCTCCTGTAGAGGGACACGCCCGACTTGAACGTAGCTGGATGCACATGGCGGGTTCGGGGAACCCTGAACCCCAAAGTGCTATCACCTCTTGGGCGGCACTGCTTTTTTTGTTTACTTCCGCCGCCTTCCGCCAGCCTTCCGCAGGCAGATGCGGCCTCGATTTACTTCCGCGCAGAAGAGATGACAACTCTCTCAGTCCCCGAAGGCAAGGGCCTTTTTGGAACGCCCCACATGCCCACTTGGACCACCACTGGGGGGATAGGGGGGGGCTCTGAGTGGGCGCCAAAAGGTGGGTTGCACCTGGCCCAACCCAGCTTACAGGCGGGTCGGGAGCGCCCCGAGCGCCTTAGGGGGGGCAGAGATCTGGGCGACGTGGGCGGAGCCCACGTAGCAGAGCTGCCGAGCCCTTTCAGCCACTTGGGGCACGGGTGACACATTTACCCGCATGTGCACATTCGCATCCACATATAAGCCCCCTATCCCCTTGGCAACCTCAATTAGCGGCGGTGCAAGCAGACCCCCTCGAGCCGTGCTCAAACCAAGACGGATGTGTGTCATTCTCGGCGCCCGGGTGCCCTCCCAAGACCTCGGGACCATCAAAAAACGACTCGGGACGACAAGCTGGTCCGGGGGCACATGTGTCCGTACCTCTCGCGGTGCAGGTCGTGACAAACCATGACGCCCGGGGTCTGAGTATCGTGCCGGGCCCTGGCAAACCTGGAGCATGGATCCCCACGTATCGACATCTCGCACAGACTTCCGCCGCACGCGGCCAGCGGAGCCGCCACCGCGTTCTACTTCCGCAGGCGTCCGCTGGCTTCCGTCGTAGGCGAGGCAACTCCCAAGGGCGAGGCTCCTTGTGGCACGCCCTATGTTTAGGTCGGGCAAGTCCTCCCACAGGCGCATCTTGGAAGAAGGATAAAGCAGATACTCCAACGATGGTCTCCAGAATAGGCAAACATAGTCCCCAGACTATGTCTTTAAGATTTCTGAGAATTCCTTCTGTAGAGGGACATACCTGACCTAGCCCTGTGTGGAGCATCCTAGGGCTCTGGGCCTCCTGGCTGGGGTCGGAGTATAGATGGGGTCGGAGGATCGCGCCGCATCGCCGATGCATCGGCGATGGGGCCCGCTGTGGGGCCCGATCTGCTTCACGTCGACGTCGCCGATGCATCGGCGACGTCAACGATGCATCGCCGGTGCATCGCCAATGCATCGCCGATGCATCGG